CCTGAAGCCCTTTACTCTCATCGCAACTCAGGTATACGCATGTAGTCAGGTACCTCAAAGCCCCCATCGCCCGGCTCCGTGTTTGCTTCGGCCAGCTGTTGCGCCAAAAGACTTAGTCTCACGTTTTCCTCCGCGGGCTGCACACCGGCCGGTTGGCGTGGGCTGGCCACCATCATTTCCACCATCTCGTCAACCGGGTTGTTCTCTCTGCTCGGCACCTGCGCCGATTCGGGATCGAAGGCGTAGATCTTGAGAGCCCGCAGGTGCGTGTCCTTGCCGTTCTGGTGATTCTCCAAAATCTGCATCTGTAGAACATACGAGACGAGAGTGTTCCCATCGGCACCACCGCCTGCACCAGCGAGAGGGACCTGTTGCCAGCCAACGGGGCTTTCTAGGTTGAGGTGGGCGAATTCGATGAGGTTGTTCTCGCTGGTGCCGGATTTGAAAACAATGTTGGTCGGGGTGTACGACTCATCCTCGTTGTAGTTGACGTAGAACCGGATCTCTCGAATGTCGACCCGTTTGACAAAGTAGATCGTCAGCCGGTGCGGCTGAGGGCCATCTGACCTAGGAGTGTTAATACGGCGTGCCGGGCGCCTTGAGTGTGTTGACTCACTGCCAGAACAAGCCGAGATCGTCGCTCCGCAGAGACTCGACGCCGTTTCCTAGTTTATGACTGCTAACGGTGAGTCTACCCAGGTTGGAGATCTCCTTGAGACCTAGTGTCGGCGGCTCGGCATGCAGCTCTGGTACGGCGGCGTCATCTTCGCCCTCCTCGTCTCCTGGAATGTCCTCGTCCGCCTCGTCTTCATCTTCCTCCTCGTACTCATCCTCAACGCTCGTATCATCTGCCTCGACCTGGGTCTGTGCGTCATCATCCACCATCGTGGCAGTAGGTGTCGGTGCAGGGGCCTCCTGTCGCTGAGCCGTGTTCGCGCGCCTCATGTCCACAATACTTTGATCTGGTTCGCTTCCAGAGTCATCCGATATCTCTGGCATGCTTAATCGACTGTTGGGCAGATCTGGTGTCGTTAGCAGCGTTTGATGAGTAGATGCGTTCCTTTGCCAGCTTAGGATCTTCAAAAAGAGTGCAGTTTCGGCCACTCGACATTTGTACAAGGGCAGGGGGATGAACTCGTTCGTCCTGGTCTGCGCCAGATCCAGTCGCTCCTGCATCGACGTCCACTGCTCTGGGTTCGGGCTCTTGCCGCATGGCATGCCTCAGCGAAGGTTGATCATTGACTGATGTCAAATACAGGCGCACCAGTACATTTTGAACAGGCTCCAGTGGTATGACCCTATCAAGCTAAGGCAGCACACGAGATGAAAATCCTCTCTTTGCAGAACTGTCACTGTGCAGCAAGCCCGGGACTTGCTCCCTTTTCAACCCTGATCGAGCTGCAATGCGCTTCTGACCACTAGATCAAGGCATGACGAACTTTTAAGCGATGGAGACAGACCTGGCGATCATGGCAGGAACATAGGACGAGCAGGTGCCTCTTGACCTTGTGCGCCGTCTTTACGGTACTTTGGGCTCTAGGCATCGAATGTACGGCGTTCAGAGATGGGAAGGCTCGACTGCAACGAGAAGTGAAGACTTACTTCGATGTAGTCGGAAGGGATTGGGCCGTGGTGCCGCCGGGTTCGGGTTGCCGCTGACTTGTTGCGAAGGGTGACGCTGGGTCTGATGGTTTCGATTGCGCCTGCCAGACCACTGCTCCGGCGTGTCATGCCTACGCTGGTGTGGCATGGCAGCTGTAGGCGTCACTCGCCTGCCTTGACCTTGGCCAGCGGCGCCTGTGGGCGCTGGGAGCTGCAAGCTTGGAGTTCGCCGGGCGTCGGCACTGGGACTTGCGCCCGTGCTGCTTCTGGGGGCTGCTACATTGCGAGAATTCCTGTGCACATTGTCCATCGTAGTGTGTGATTGCCCGCAGTCGCGATGAGACTCACCTCTTATACGCGCTGCACTGGTGGTGGGGGATGTTGTTTTGATGCATCACGTGATCCATCCAGCTGCTGAAGCCCGCGCCTTCGCACGCCGAAGTGCCTGAGAATTGCAGGTTGATGATGAAGTATGATTATAGCAATATTCCGCGTAGAAGGACAGGCTATTTCTGTTCTTGCCGTGACTCGCATTGGTATAATGCTCGCCATTGGTGCTTGGACAATCCGTTGACACTAGCATCCAGCGTCGCCCCGCTGTAAACCTGGTTCAACTGTACATGTATGTATGGCGCTGAGCAAGGCCTTTCAATCACGAATCTGGAACAACAACCTATGATTGATTGCATCATGTTCTAAATTCCCCTAGCTAGCAGCTGTTGATTGAACAAAAAATGATGGTGTACGTCAGTAGTAGTACAAGCACCAAAGACGACAGCGAATGGAGAGAATGAATAGTTCACGATACAGCCTACCCTGTTGCCACACCGATAACCAGCAGCTTTGAAGAAGGAGCAGGCGGAGATGAGTGATTCAAGACAACGATCCCATGCTACCGTAAGTAGAAACGGCAAATCAAGATCGGCCGGAGTCTGCAGCTGAAAAGGGATAGGATAATTAGGGGTGTTTAGTTAATGAATCGTGTTTCGTAAACATCAGGACAAGACGGATACCTAGGTACGGATACGAGCAGTCCAATTACCAATCGCATCGCGTCCCGCATCACGTGGAAACACTGCTATTATTGCCATCGCTGGCGCCTGGAAACTGGGACACCGAAGGCGAGCAATGCAGGTTTCCTATTGGTTTATCTCGCCAAACGGGTACCCTAATTTCCTCCCACATCCCCGTGAAGCGCATCCCTCCCGCCACTTTACAGAGGGCCCGGGTCTCGCAAACTGCAGACTTGCTGACTGACAGACAGACTGGAAGGGATGGACTGGACTGCATTGTGTGCTGCGAGCGGACAGCCTGGACAGGGCGTCCGTCGTTATCATTCCAGATGTCTCTGCGCTACGGAAACTCACCCTGAACATCGGGTCAGCCCTGCGCCGAGCCTGGCCCGCGGTCGCTAGCTATCGGTTTTCTCGTGTTCCAGGTCGTTCCTATCAAGCCCTTCCTTGATCTGCATACCGTACCTATCGAGCCAACTCTATTTCTGCGCTGTGCTATCAGTTTGCTGGAGGCGCTATCCGAGTCCAGACGCCGCTTATTCATCTGCCGTGCATCCTGGACACGTCAAGGTTCTAATAGTTCGACCGGCCCCAACGTCCATCTCTCTACGCCCATTCTCCCCTCTACTTGTCCCTGGATTGCGGTTCCTCAATTTCTCTCACATTACTATGCCATGATGAACAATCAGAATCCGGTCATGGCCTCATGGGCGCAATATCCGTCGCGCTTCGCTCCCAAAATGTGCGGGCGGCGGCCTGCGATCATTCTACTATCAGTCGCCCTGGTTCTCGGGAGCTTGATACTCTACGCAGCCTTCCAACTCGGGGATATTTGCCCTGAGGGTGGTGGTCGATGCACCTGGGCCGGCGCGATGAACACACTCGACTACCTACGGGGTAAAGGTAAACATGGCGAAGGGGAGCCCGAGGAAGGTGAAGTGACGAGCGCACCAGCAGTCGAAACCGCAACCGCAAACAAACCCGTAGCCAGTCCCGAGCAGACAACGGCGCCAAGCGAGCCGGAATTGGCACAAGGAGTCCCTGTCGAAGAGGATTCAAGCTGTCACGGCTTTCCGGATATGTCGAACATCTTACTCGTCATGAAGACGGGAGCCTCAGAAGCCTACTCTAAGATCCCGACGCAGATGCTCACCAATCTTCGATGCGTCCCCGAGTCCAACTTTCTCATATTCAGCGACATGGCGCAGTCCATCGCTGGCCAAGAGATCATCGACACGCTGGACACGGTCCTTCCCGAGGTGAAAGAGCACCGGGATTTTGAGCTGTACCACAATCAAGTAACGTGCCCGATCGATCAAGAGACCTGCAACAAAGGCATCGATGTAGCCAAGCAGGGCTGGGCGTTGGACAAGTACAAGAACGTCCACATGGCCGAGAAGGCCTACGCGCGCAGCCCTGGGTTCGACTGGTATCTGTACGTTGATGCGGATACGTATGTCGTCTGGTCCACGCTCGTCGAATGGCTCTCGAGGGTCGACGCCAAGGAGAAGATATACATGGGCAGCGTGGCTATGCTTGGCGGGTTTTCTTTTGCCCATGGCGGTAGCGGCTATCTCGTGTCCCAGGGCATGATGGCCGCCATGTTCGATGGGAAGGAGAATGTGGCCAATAGATTTGATCAAAACGCGACTGGGCTCTGCTGCGGCGACGCCCTCTTCTCAATGGCCTTGAAAGAGGAGACGGACGTATCGGTCCAGAACGTGGTATGTACATCCGCCGATCTTTGTCAGCCAATGAGTCCCGGTCGCTAACCTGTGGCAGTGGCCAACCGTCAATGGAGAGAAGCCGAACACTCTGTCATACGAAGACGCACAGTGGTGCCAGCCACTGGTGACGATGCACCACATTGGGAGCGAAGAGGTCTCTGATTTCTACGAGTGGGAGCGCAGCCGCAACTACACACAACCCGTGCGCATCAAGGACCTGTACCACCAGTTTATCAAGCCCCACCTCGGCGACACGAGGGCGGAGTGGGACAATCTCAGTGACGATATACGCTACGCCGATCGCGATGCCGATGGGGTCGACTCGACGGATGACAAGTATCGGTTCGACAACCTGAGCGAGGTCGAGCAAGGGGCACACACCAGCGCCACGAACTGCCGCGCTGCGTGCCTGGAATCCGATCAGTGTATGCAATGGCGATTTCATCGCAATGTGTGCTACATGGGCCGCAAGATCATGCATGGCAACCCCAACATCCCCGACGACGGCGACGGTGAAAAGATGGTCAGCGGCTGGCACAAGGCTAGGATCATGACCTGGACAAAGGAGCACGAAGACTGCGGCGAGATCCAATGGCCGAACGTGAAGACCTCCAACTGAGACTCGCCCGTTCGAAGTAAGAAAATGGTGTCTGAAGCATCGGAAGAGCCTGGTCGAGGGCGAACGAATACGCTTTCAGTTGACGGGGTCTCAGAGACCACAAACAGGTCCCAAGTCCTTTGCACTGATCAGCCGAACACGGTGAGCTCTCCTCTTTGCAAAGACGGCACTTCACGGGGGAAAATTGAGACGCTCCTCAGCACTTGAAGGAAATGATGGAGATGGATCTGACATCATTGTCAATTACTCACCATGGGTCGCAGTAGACGTCTTCTGGCCAGCGGCCAGCCTCGCCCTTGCTACGGTATTAGGCGTACGGGCATGGATAGGGTCGGCCGTACGAATGAGATGTGCTGCTGACTGCATCTTGGCAGAATGATGATAGGCAATGCCGAGCCCGGTGGTGCGTGGGCAAATGAGATTTGCATGGGGACGACTGCCATAGAGTCCCACGGCAATTTGGTCATCTCTCTGAGGCCAAATGATCGCCGGCGCACGCGCAGATTAGAGCGTCCTTGCCGCGTGACGACTTTGTCCGGCTGGCTGGCTGGAACATTGCTGAATACGATGATCATGCTGGACCGATTAAATCAAATTCGTTACCAAACGTCAGACTCCAGTCGTTCGTATACCCGCATGAGTGGATTGGAATTAATGCCCACCCGACCGGCCCCTGGCGACGGCGTGACGCTACTGTGGACTAATGACGCCGGCCGGTTGGTCCCTGATTGACGGTCAGGCTCCGTGTTAACTGCTAATTACCGGGCGCGACTGGACATATTTCACTGACAGGCTCTCCTTGGCGGCAGCTAATTATCATCTTGAGGTTGGCGGGCCTTGAGGCGACTGTCGCGTGTGCTGTCGACGAGCCATTGAAACGAACAAAGAAACCACCGTCTGTCATAGCACATTGATGAGTGTTTACACGGCAATCGGTACTCAAATCGAGGGCTGAACCGCGGACACGCGTGACCGAGACACGGGCATTCCGGAATGACCAACCTCTCAGCGCCACGTCTCGTGCAGGAGCAGCTGGACAGGCATGGAGCGTGAGTGACGAAAGGACATAGAAGCGCGTGAGAATCATGCGCGCCCGGCGACATGATAATATTAGGTGGAAGAATCAAGACATCCATCTGTTTGCTGGCGCTCGTGCTCCATGTCGTTCCCCCTGACCATATTGAGACTATCTGCAGTCCATATCCCCCTGACCCCCTGCCCTGCAGGCTGCCCCTCCCCCCCTGGCCACTGCTGAAATGGCCCAATGCGTGCCCAGCCCTCCATCAGTAAACTCCCCCCAGGCCACAGACAGACAGCTCCGCTAAAGGGCATGCTGTCAATCTCCAGCCCATCGTCTCCTCGAACATCTTGTTCTACTCTCTCTCTACCCTTCCCCAAATTGATTTCACTACCAATTATATCTGACTGTTGAACAATTGCTGCTCTTCGAAAGCTTTACACGTTGAACAAAAACCAATACGCAACATGGACCCTCACACAGACCAGCACAAGACCGACGAGGAGCTCGACCGCGACTGGAAGCCCAACGGTCGTCGGCCACAGTCGTACGTGCCCGCCCGGTCCCTTGTTCCTCTCACCTCGAGTCCAGTCCCTCGCCCCGACATGCTCGAGTATCACCACATATAATGGTGGCCAGAACAAGGACCATGACTATGAGAACACACCAGCTAACGGTGATGCCAATGCTAGGACCATGGCGCGCTCCTTCTCTGCCGAGCTCATGGACATTTTCCGTATCGAAAACTCGGTATCCGATCTCGACTCTCAAGTCCACAAGAGGTTCGTCTCTCTCCTTCTCGGTCTCACTCACGACAACAATGGCAGCCGCAGGAGAACAGGAGCTGACGATGCGACGCGCTTAGGAAGCACACTGTCCAGCAGACCACCACAGAACTCGCATCGCTCGAAGCCCGCCTGAAGGAGATGGAGGCGCGTCTCAAGCACTCCCAGGCTCGCATGTCCATCTCGGGCACCAGCTTCCACCCTTCCGAGGGCACGCCCTCCGACAACAACCACGGCATTCCCCCATTCAACCCAAGGACCGAGTCATCGGCAGCAGCAGAAGAAAAGGCGCGGTCACGACCCGGCACGGCCAAGGCGACGCAGCAGGCACCAAGCTCGGGCGACATGCCTCCTACACCAGGAGCTAGCGAGGGTGAGTCGCTTCCCACAGCTCGATGAGTGAGATGAGCCGCCCTGCTGACGTTTGTCAAGATGGCGACCGCGAATAAGCCCCCCCACCCCCCTGACTGCGCACAACGACACTCGAAACCCCCAACCTGGAGCGGCTACTCTTTCGAGCGAGCGCGCATCGTGAGGAGCCACCACCACAACCCACCACTTCTTTGTGCTCCTCCCTCTCTTGTTCGAGGCGGCCCTGATGCCTCGACGTCCTTTACGCGAATGAGCCCTTGATTATTATTTCTTCTTATTGCCAGAAACTTACATTGCATGGGATGGAGGCAGGAAGTCCCGGTGTCATTCGCTTATACACATATCCTCTACGGCGTTGAACGGTCTCCTTTTTCATCATCTTATTCTCCACGGCAAGCCATTATACCATTCATCTTCGATTGCTACACCTCACCCTGATGGGATGGTGTCTGTTTGAGCGTTGTACGCGCATTCGGAGCCGATACAACTTTGTAATTACATGCTAGTCCGCGGTAGATGGCAGTTGCTAGGAGGACACAGGGCTTATGAGCAGGCAGAGGAGGAGCGACAGCTGGACGAAGATATGCTGGTGCGGGACGATGCCGCAAGATGCGGTGAGTGGAGCTTTGAATATACCATGCTTTTATCGAGGAGGCAATTGCATTCAGAATGACACTGAAAAGGGGGGACACCCCCTCTGCTTCCATAGCTCGGGACCAAGTCTCATTAGCACAGATTTCGTGATATGTAACACCTTTGGTGCTGTAATAAGAGATCTTACTTTGCCAGTAATGCGGGCATCATTGTTCTTGTCGATCTGGGGACTAATTAGGTAAATCAAGTAAGTACTTGTCACACTCCAAGATTCATCACCGAAGACGTGAAGGCATATAAAATCTTTGTCGGATAACCATCTACTTTGCGCGGGATACATATATGCGTCGTTACTAAAATCATAGCTCGTCATGACCACCAGCCTCCTCGGGCTTATGCTTTGCAGCCTCCTCTCGTTTGAAGTCCTCGCTTACTCTTTCCCAATCGCCTTCGCTCATGTTGTTGATCATCTCCTCCAGCTCCTCGGCCGTAAAGGACTGATCTCCCACCTTGATGTTCTGCTTCTCCTGACCCTTCTTGTTGTTGGTCCTCTTTGGCTTCTTCTTCTCCTTCTCCGCCTTCGACTTGCCCGCAAAGTTCTTGACGCTCTTGAGACTGAGCTCCTTGCCCACGGCCTCGATCTTCTGCAACTTGGCCTCCAGATCATTGATCAACAGGACTGGATCAGCCGTGGAGGGAAGCGAATCTTGTTTGGGCTCAAGCTCCTTAAGCCACTCGTCGGTGGTCCTGGACAGCTTCTCCAGATCAACGAGATCCTCCAGCTTGAACAGAGGTGGCACAGGGCCTCGCTCCTCCAGCACATCTTCCATTGCGGGTGCCTTGGCGTCGTCTTCGAGGCCAACGAAATCATCAGCAGGCGTCTCAGCCGGGTCCTTGGCGCTTGAGGCCGCATCTACAGACGCGGTCGAGTGGTCGGCATGCCACTTGTCGTAGTCAGAGATGGACTTGCGTGTCGTGTCGAGAAATTCAAAGGTCTTGTTAAGGGTATCTTTGAGCTGGGCCAGTAGCTCGGGGCGCTTGGCGCTCTCTTCGCTGCGCTTTTGAATCGGCGAAGCCATATCCTGAAGCTCCTTTAGCTTCGCCTTGAGCTCGTCCTTTGTTGCTTCGGCACCATCGTCGTAGAGCCACTCGCTGATAGTGCTGCTCTTGGTACCCAGATTGGTACGCTCGGCTTCAGTAGAGGCGGCAACAAACGCTTCGTCTTCGAGAAGATCGCGCACCCTGTAGGTAAAGCCCTCGAGCTTGTTCAGAGCTTCCTCGCGCGCCAAGCGGGCCCTGTCGGACACCGTGAAGGCCTTAAGACGGTCCTTGGCCTCGGCCAACTGGTCCTTGGTAAGCTCCGGAATGCCAAGATTGGACACGGTGATGTCCACGGGAATAGACACGACCTCAAGCTTCTGAACCTCGGGCTTCATCTCTTCCGAGGAGCCAGTGCTTTCAGCATCCGCAGTCTCGGCCGAGGCAGACTCAGCTGCAGCAGACGAAGCGTCGGCCTTTGCGTCCTTGTCATCGGCCGGCTCTGGTTTGGCGTCCTCCTCCTCCTCCAAAGGCTCTTGATCTTTCTTTCCAAAGCCAAAAAGGTTCTTGACACCGTCCACAAACCCCTCCTTGACTTCCACCTCACACTCCACAGCAGCACGAGTCACCTCTATCTCGCCGTTCTCACTGTTGAGCTTGGCGGTGATGCGGAACTGAGGCCCTTTATCGGCACAGTTAGGGTGAGCTTCCTTGAAAGAGGCCATGGTGGCCGTCAGATTCTTGGTCGCGAAGGTCTTCACATTCTTGTGATCATCGCCGACCTGCTGCCAGAACGCAGCGGTGAAATCCTTGTCTTCGCTGAAGGTGTACTCCTTAGCAGGGCCACCGATAGGGGAAACGGCCGACCAGATGCGCTCACTCTGCCCTTTACCATCAGATGTCCAGGACATCCCTATAGGATAGGCTGAGCCCTCGGACACACGGATCTCCTTGACTCGGAAACTGGGACTGAGCTCGGCGGCGCGGAAGCCGGCGCCAAAGACAGCGGCTTCGTCCGAGTTGACGTTGGAGCGGAGCCTGTCTGGCGAGCCTACAACCTTCTCGAGAGCTTTCTGGACGAAGGGTGTGCGGGAAGCACCACCGTGCAGGATGACAGAGTCAAGGTCGCCGATATCAAGACCAGCCTTCTTGAGAGCACCGTGGATGGTCACCGCGACGCGCTGGGCGTGTGCCTCAGACAAAACCTCGAAATCGGCACGCGAGAGCTGATACTTGAAGTCGACGTCTTCGTAAAGACCCTCGAAGCTGGCGCCAGTCTTCTGGTTGGCACTGAGAACGTGACGAACACGCTCGGCCTCCTTGTTGAGCTTGGCCATCGCGCGACCGTGGCCCCTGATGCCGGCTTCGGTGGCAGAGACCTTCTTCGCGCCCTTGGAATCGACGAACTGGGTGACCATGTCGTTGACGATGAGCGTGTTGAGGTTGTCTCCGCCCAAAGTCCTATCCCAGCCGCTGCCCATCAATTGAACCTCTTGAATTGTCTTGTTGAACTTGCCAATATCCTTGACATTGCGGCTCTGGAACTTCATGACAGACGCCTTGGTAGATCCCGCACCCATGTCAAACACCATGTGGTATTCGGGCTTGGCACCCTCGTCGATGTTGGGAAAGACACGACTCGTGGCGTAGTTGAGACCAACGGCCAAACCGTCACTGATCAGACTGAGGACCTTGAGACCTGCAAGCTCGGCCGCAGACTGTATGGCGCGCTTCTCGTCGGTGGTGAAGAAGGGAGGAACAGTCAGCACAATGGAGCGCACTGTCGTCCCATCACCGGCAGCCAACTCGGCGTTCTTTTGCACGCTCTGGAGTTGCATGGCCAGAAGCTCCTCAACCAGCCATGCTTCCTGGTCAGCCGTCACCGCATTGCTCTTGAAAGCAGCCGTGCCACGGACATCGTGCGTCTGGAGTTGGAGAGCAGGATATCGGGCAGCGTACTCTTGTACCACGGGGTCGTCGATCGTGAGTCCGAGGAGGGTCTTCAGGTTGGGGTAAACCTCGCCGGGGAAGCGTGCAGACAGGGCCATAGCGTCGGATCCATACAGACGTTCGGGAAACTGGCCTTCTTGCGCGCCGCCTCTTGACGGCTTGAAGGCCACAGCTGATGTCTCTTTGCGTCGGGAGTCCTTGGTCAGGACAATGTCGAGGGGAATGCCAGGCTTGACAAGTGCTGCTTTGATGTATTCGGTGCCCAAGTCGACGCCCAAAACGGCCGATATAGCGAGAACTTGGGAAGAAAAGAAGGAAACGGCTCCGAGGAGCATTAACAGGGGCGAAGCCCTCGAGCGGAAGGTCACCATGTCAGATGGTGGGGTGCGCTGGTACTGCAGCGCTGTGGGAGTGTTTCGCAGAAGACAGGTACAATGCACTGCTTATGACAGGTATCGAGTATAATGGCTCTGAAGAGCGTTGAAGCGCAAGTGAATGGCTTCTAGGCGATCGTTTCAAAGTTGAGGTCAGCAAAAGGTGGCCTCAACTAGGAAGTAGTGTGGTCGAGCCTACTTATGGAGCAATGCGGTCACAGAAGAGGACAACTTGTACATAAAATAAAACCCAGGGTGGGTTGGTTGACAGAATTCACAAGGGATTTGATTCCATTGCGTTTCTTACACAAATGCACAAGTAATTGTGGCAGCTCTATCCGTTCCTGAATGCAAGGCTGGTTAGGTGTGGCTAGTGCACGTGCAGGGGTAGCTTCAGCCACAGCTAGCCATCTAATGTTCTCAACTGCCGGATTACCCTGTTGGCGACATGGGATCCGACTTCAAGTTATCCAAGGCAGACGTTGATATGTCGTCCTGGACTCCTTGGCATATCGCGTGGTGGGGATCTGCAGCGTTCTTTGACACATTGTGATAGCTAGAAACAGTGGTAGGTTTAAGCTGAGAGGTCGTAATGCATCATTTTGTACGTGTCCAGCAATGGGACATATCTAACAATCACCTGAACGACCGCCCTCCAAAACCCGTGTCCACACAAACCCATCGTGTATCTTCCGTTCCTGGAAACCAGTCATGAACCCCCTTGCTATGCCACGGTGACTCAGTAAAACGCCTTCAACAACTGATGTACAATCGTCCTTGCCGCTTCGAGCAGGACGATGCTAAGGTTACATGTTAGGAGTAAGCCTTCATGGGAACCAAGCCTCCCTGAGAGATGGAGTTCTACGACTCTTCAGTTCGGCGAGGTCCACCACGCGAAGGGCCACCTCGGCCACCACGGCCGCGACCGCGCGCATCACCACGGCCACGACCACGGAAATCACCGCGTCCACGACCTCCGCGGCTGGGGCCACTATCAGTGCGGCCACGGTTACGCTGCACAGATTGGAAGCCTTCGTTCGGGTCAGCAATCTTGGGAGCAGGCGTTTGCTCAGGTTGGTCGTCTGCCCACGACTGGGTGTTGGCAGCAACGGCAGGCGTCGCGTTCAGGCCCGTGTCGGTCTCGGATGGGTCCCGGGGTACCTGCACCCACTCGTCCTGCGAGGTAGCTACGTCCTTGGTGCTGTCCCAGTGACTTTGGCCGACCGCGTTGGCAGCTTGGTCGGTGACATTGACATTGTCAATACCGCTCGTGATTGTCTCCACAGACTGGCCGTTGAGCTGTGTGGCGTCGCCGGCTTCAATCTCGGTCGTGGTCGCGTGCGCAACTGTGGGGTCAGTGGCAGCCTCAGTCTCGACAGATGTCTCGGCCGCCGCATCGATTTCGTAGGGACTCTTATAGGTCTGGGCGAGGGTCTTAATCTGCGAATCTGCTATGCGGTTAGTCCAGCACGGCCCGAGCACAGAGAATAAGAACGCACATGGAGTCTGCAGCTGCTCCCCAGGCACACTAAGCGGAGCGTCGGACGATCCTTGGGTGAGCTTCAGCATAGTCTCGACTGCGCTGTCATCTCCTGTGTAAATGGCGAGCAGAATGCCTTCGATGGCTTGGGACTCGTCCGACTCTGCGTCACCACCCTCCTCACGGCGGTAGGCAGCCAACCGCAGGAACTGGGACAGCAGCAGCAGATCCTTGCGCTGAGAGGCTCGGAAGCTCGCCTCTACCTCAGCGGCTGCATCGCTCTTGGCCTTTTCGAGAGCCTTTTCCCATTCAGCCTTGTCCGCACTGGCTTGTGAGCGATAGTATTCGTCGATCTTGATGTACTGGTTCAGCTGCTCCTCCTGTTGCTGAAGCTGGGCCCGGAGCTCTGGCTTCTTCTCGATTTGAGCCTTCTGGTCAGCGTTGATGATCTTCTCGCTGACGAGTTGATCGAGGGTCTTCTTGGGGTGCTCGTTGAGAATGCTATCAGTCTTCGAGGCGTTTGTCTACAAATTTGTCAGTCGTATATCGTAGAGCTGATGTGCCAGAACCTACAATCTTCTTGTTCAGATTGCGAATGTTCCTGTGACGAGAGTTAGTCAACTTGCGGGACAGATTTTGTTTGTCGCGTACTTCTGGAGCTCCCTGATGTATTGACTGGCGGGACCGTCGTCGCTGTTCTTCTCAGTTGCACCTGAGGCAGCGCTGGGGGCAGGAGAGTTGACACGCTCGATAGCCTTGGCAGCCTTCTTTTTGGCCGACTTGGAAACAGATTGAGCAGCTGGAGAAGACATATTGACAGCTCGACGGGGAGTATTGGTGGGAAGGAGGAGGACGATCCGAGGTGAGTCGATGGGGGTTCGTTTGGTCGTCACAAGCAAGGTCAAGAACGGGTCGTTGGGGGGCACGGTTGCTCAACGGATCCTGTGATTGAGAGGGCAAAGGAATTGAAAGGAATCGTGCTTGGGCGCGAGGGGAATTATTAGACTTTGACGTTACACCGTGGTCAGGCAGGGAAGCACAAAAGGTGAGGGTCGATCAATGCACGTCAGGCAAGCTTCGTTTTTTTGGGGCTTTCCTGGCTTGGCTCAGCCCTGCAGTTGACACCTAGTACTCCAATAAGACTCCAACAACCGTGGCACGCGCTAGCTTAGAACATTGAGGGGAAGCATTTTCTAGAATCACGGACAAAACCAATGTTGAAATCTGGACTATTGATAACAACGTCCCGGTATGCACGAATGACTCCTCCATTTTCGTCTACCAACCCCTGTCGTCGACGTCGCCACATCTACCTAACTCAACATCATCCGGCACGAGAGCTCGGGAGCTTGAGGTACCACGGGCAGGTTCTTTTGATAGTGCATCCAATCTTTGCAACATTGCTGAAATCACTACTGTAGCAGGCGCATGCAGGGAGCTTTGTTTGTGTTTCCACAAGCACTCCTCTGGGTTCCCACGCTAGCAAGTAAACGCCCGCGCAAGCGCACACCCGCCGTCACTTCGTGGCAGCAACCAGTGGGTAACCATGTCGAAGTCCGTATGGTCCTTTGATGCCTAGACCGCAGGCCTGAAGCTCTAGTCGAGGCTGCCGTGGCTCAATGGACATCATCGCCATCACAGGCGTGTACTGGACCTAGTATATGTGGAGGAAAAAGACCTCTTCAGCCCTTGAACTTTGCTAGAGTATCCTGTAGAGTTCGATCAGACATACGCTCGAAGATTTGGTACTTTGCGGCTTACCCTCGTCACCTTCTTCACGCTGCGCGAAGCGAGTTTCTTGTCACCATACAGCTTCGAGTCAATGGCCGCCTCTTTCACCAGTCTAAACGCTCTTAGTTGACGAAAATGGGACGCCATGCGTTATGATCTTACGTTTCCATGAACAGAACATAGTTCAGGTAAATCTGACATTCTGTAAGCACGTGTGCAAGCAGGAACAGCGAGCGGCCTACCGTGACGTCGGCGTTCCTTTTCAGGTTCAAATTGGCATGCGCCTTGACAATCTTCTTCAAAGTCGCCTTTGGATAAGCTTTCTTGCCGACGACGGCCATAGTCCTAAGAAATTATTCGCCGTGCCTTGTCTGGTGATGATTAGGCGATGACATGCGCGTTGACTGTCAACATCAGAGTGGGTCGCGTCTGAACTGTCCTGCACCGCGTGTATTTTCCCCGCACTGTCCTAGACACTGTTCCCCCACCATGAAGCCGTCGCAGCTCAAACATTCTGGATGAACATTATTGCACGTCTTCGTATCCTCTAAGACAAGTTGGCAAGCTCACAACATGTCGGGAATACTTGGCCGCCGTATGGTATGTATACGATTGAAGCGCATAGTCTGGTTCTAATTTTCTTGATAGCTTTCGAAAGCAGAGGAGGAGGGCAGTGACGAAGTCGAGGTGCGCAGAGAGGATCAGGACAAGATCAACCGTTTCAGTCGTCTGCATCAACGCGAATTGGCGATTAAAGAGGAGCTGGAGGCCAGAAGTGTAGGTGCGCGGCATTTTTGTCAACGACAGACACTGACCGTATGCTGCAGAAAGAAAAGGAAGAGCTCGAAGATATCTCTACCGAACTTGAACTCGCAGACGAAGACGATAAGATCCAGTGAGAGCCCTCCACTATCCAGGCAAATCAAGAAACATAGCGCTCACCCATACACCAGGTATCGAATCGGCGACTCCTTCTTCCACCTACCCCTCGAGCAGGCTCAGGAGATGCTGGAAGCAGCGTCAACGCGCAGCGAAGAAGAAACAGGGGAGCTCGAGGAGAAGCTGAGCTCAATACAGGACGAGATGAAGCAACTCAAGGTCGATCTGTACGCAAGATTTGGCAAACAGATCAACCTGGAGACATAATGCAATAATGTCAAACATGATCATGTCTCTTTCATGTCACGACTGCGTAAGCTTATCAGTGTATGTACAAATATGCCGGCGCACTGCGAGATAAGATCCGTTGCATTGAGCTAGAGAGCCGTCAAGACAATGCGCGCCGCAAGGCTACGACGGTTGATCATCTATCGCAGCCTCAGTATTCCACTGATTGCTTAGTCACCAGGTCACATTTGATACCTGATTCGTTCCACCCCGGATATACGAATCCCCCCGACTCAGGAGAGGTCCTCTCACAGCCAATTGGGATTGCGGCCATTGAGAAAGTTGGAGGCCGGCCGGCCGTACGATTACTGCTTAAACCCGGCCGCCGCCCTCGTTACGCACGTACCGTTCCATCAAGCCGAGAAACGGAGCTGTTGCTCAACCATAGACGAGGGCCTACTTAAATGAGCGAACCGAGCCTTGACCCCACGATCCTGGGCGGCCCGTGGCCCATCAGCTGGGGTAACGTCCTCGCCATCATTTAGCAATCGTCACCTGAAGTCTTGAACTGTCCTGTACCTTCATTTTCGGTGATTGGCGTCGCCAGAGTCTCTATTCTCGCTGTGGATCGAATTGCCATGTCCTCACAGTTGGATCAGTGTAGCGAACCCAGCCAATACCACCATTCGTTGTGCTAAACCACAAGTCCCCTTGTCGTCATGGCGAGTAGTGAGACGAGCGACACCATGACGGACACGACGGCCCACGAGAATCGTAGGCATACATTTATTGCCCCACGGTATTGCATACGTATTAACGTGGTACAGGCGGTCGGCAAAGGAGCGTTGCAGCCGAGGATCAAATCGATCGCCTGGACACTATCCATGCAATGTCGATATGTGACGACGAAAACAGCGACAAGGGACTGGGAGCCCTCCACAGCATTCGCTCCAGGACACGAAGCCGAACAAATGAGACAGTTATTGGGTGGGCTTATAACGACCCTGACAATCCCCAGAACTGGTCAAGTGTCAGTGCTGGCTATTGCCACTGTATGTTGTACCTAACGTCGTTGCAGGCTAAGAAAAGCACCGTCGTCTTCATAAGTGGCATGACTGTTATCAATTCGACAATGGGCTCAGCTCTACCCAGCATGGCCATTCCGGAGATCACAGACGAGTGGGGTGTGACGTCTTCAGAAGAGAGTGTTTTACCCATCTCCGTGTATCTCATCGGCTACGTCTTTGGCCCGATCATCTGGGGGCCCCTGAGTGAACAGTTCGGGCGGAGAAACTTGAGCATTGGCGCTTTCTCCGTGTTTTCACTCTTCACCATGGCCTGTGCCTTGGCGTCCAACTGGCCCTCATTCTTGATTTTCCGCTTCTTTTGCGGCATTACAGGGAGCTGTCCCATCGCCGTCGTGGCTGGGATTCTTGCTGATATCTACGGTGAACCCCGGACAAGGGGCCGAGCCTTCGCCATCTTCATGGTCGTGAGTTCCCCTTGCCAAAATTTCGTCGTCAAGCCTTAATTACTTAATTACTCCCAGACGACCGTGTTCGGTCCGCTCTTTGCACCCATTGTCTCTGGCTTCTGTTCCTCCAGTATCGGCTGGCGCTGGACTTTCTGGATCGCCCTGATTGTCTGTGGTGTCACTTTTGTCATGATCATTCTCCTGCCCGAGACCTTTGGACCCATACTCCTCGCTAGACGTGCAGCTCGCATGCGTGCCGCTGACCCGCCTGCGAGGGTGGTCGCACCACGAGATCTCGAGTCGACCGACTTGAATCAGCTTCTCACCGTGGTGCTGACACGGCCAATCAGGATGCTAATCTCGGAACCGATTGTGAGCACCACCTGCGCGTACCTGGCATTGTGTTACAGCATATTCTACATGTCTTTCCAGGCGTTCCCCATCATCTTTCAACAACTGTATGGTCTATCACCCGGAGTAACGGGACTGTGCTACCTTCCGATTGGCGTAGGGGCAATATTGTCTCTGCCCGTATTCTGGTATTGGGATCACTTCCTCGCTCTCGCTGTTTCAAGGGGAAAGACGTGGACCAAGCGTGAAGAGTTGCGTCGCCTCCCGCTGGCCTGCGTTGGTGGGCCATCCTTCGTCATCGCACTGTTCTGGTTGGGATGGTCTGCGCAGGAGGGAACCTCGTTCGTTGCGCCTATGCTGGCAGGCATACCTTTTGGCTTTGGCTTCCAACTCATTTTCATGGCGATGCTGAATTATCTGACCGATGCCTACGATACCTTCGCAGCGTCAGCGAACGCCGTGGCAGGCATGTGTCGGTCGTTGCTCGCGGTGGTGTTACCGCTGGCAACGAGCCACATGTTTAACAATCTTGGCATTTCTGGGGCGTGCTCTCTTCTCGGCGGCCTGACTGCGGTAATGTGCGCAATCCCATTTGTGTTCATCTGGAAAGGACCCAGCATCAGGGCCAGGTCCAAGTTTTGTATTGCTTTGCGTGAAAGAAGAGAAGAATTGGCTCGAAAAGCGGAAGAAGAGAGGCTTAGGGCCGAGCATTCTGGTGAGCGCGAAAAGGAACAGGCAGTCTGAATATAACATTGTGTAAGTGCCTATCCATACGCTGATTACGATCTGTCGCGGGAAAAAAAAAAAAAAAAGAAACCTAGGTACAGACTACCTCGCCATGGTGCCTTGGGAGAATGTGCTGTTTTGTCTGCTCACAACTTCTCGGACTTGCTCTTCCTTGTCCTTTTTTCTTCTTCTTTCCTTCTTCTTTTCTCCTTCCTTTCTTTCACCAGTGCATTGTTGGCGCATTGGACAGGGCAACCGTGGTATAGTTGACTACCTTCCAACATTTGATGCCATCTCCAAGGTCAAGTGTACCAATAGCGGCTCAGAAGAATTCTTCGACTCTCCCACGCTCCGGTAAATAGTCGACCCTAGGAGTTAGTATCTCGAGCTCGGGATACTGAGTGTCATGCCGCAAGCGTGAGCTATCACGACGTATTTGTAGCATGCTTCTTTGAGTCTTTCTCAGCCCACTTAGTAGGTTTCACAAGGAAGAATGTGAGGCCACACTATCTTGTGTAGCAATATGCGCTTCAGCCGTGAGAGCCCCCCCCTCCTTATAGCCTGTGACAGTAGGCAACAGCTTGCCGAAGCCCGACTTGATCAAGTGACCTACTCGCCCCTGGAGTGAAATGACCGAATATCATCGAAATTTTCTTCCGCTGTCCGAGAAATGCATGTCGGACAGGCTCTACGTGCATCTTTGACTGTAGACGGCGCGACATAATCCCCGGACTGCCCTTGATGTCGAACACTGAAATGTTTGAGCGCGGGAATGGGAAGGATGCCTGACCCATTACTCTGGATATGTCTCTAGACGCACTGCTGACTGTCGCCAATCCCTGTGTAATAGCTCATCACCCTGTGTATGAAATGGCAGCCGTCTAAGGGAGCCCAACCTCATGACTGAGTCGTTTAGAGGCGCTGAGCTCCAGACGCTTGGTTGGGGAGAAATTCCGCCGAGATGGTCTCCATCTAGACTAGCAGCTCGATGCCCCAAGGCTGTGGCACAACCTTGAAGTGCGGATTTCAGGGAGATGCTGGAAATTCGGTGGTGCGTCTTTCGACCCCTTTCCCGGTGATGGCGGTACTGAGGAGCTGAAGAACTGCCTTACTTCTAGATGTACTGCATGACTCCAGTCGGTGATCCTTTATGATGGTCTGAACATATTAGTGAAGTACCATGGCCATCCATCAGATTGGACCACGGCCCCTTTTCTGAGCGGTGTCCGTAATATGTTCTTGTGACGGCAGGGTAGGTTAACGGCGTTCACCAGCAGAACGATGATACTGCTGGAGATTTGCCTGATGTGTAAGCTGCCAGTCTTCAGAGACCTCGGTGGGTGTCTGCGTGGACGAATTCAGCCACTGTTGTGCCGCTGGAATGTAAGGTACTGAGAGCCTCGAAACGGCCAGACCGCACGATCATTTATATACTTTGCTGCATCTGTCTTGAACAGGATCTGGGGTATGGAGCAGCCGACGCCCGCACGTCTGATTCATCTTCGTGCTAGTAAGTGCCTGGAGATGTCACTGGGAGTTGGGTCTTTCGCCTATTGGCCAGGTTTGGCGACCGCTCGAGTTGCTTGCGTGACGGTGGAAGGCAGACAACTGATAACCTTCCCCTGGAGTCGGCGCTGCCGATTGGAGCCACGCTCCCGGTCAGCGTATGAGGATGGTTAGGCAGGTCATCGCCCATTGTAGAGGCATCTTGCAAGGCTGCAACGTAGAAGAGGGTCTTGTCGGGTAATAAGGGAGACCGCTGCCGCCTCCTGTTGGGCTGAAGCCACCAAAACCACCCTCCCGGCCAGCTGAGAGGTCGCCCAGAGATCGGCCAGTTCCTCCAGCCAATCCGTCGATCAGCTCCATGAGACACACTTGTTCAGCTTCGGTTGGCGCTGTGTCCGCAGGCACTTCCAGCACAGCGAACGAATGGACACACTGTATTCAACAAAAAAAAAATGCAGGAAAAGTTATTTATACCACAGCCTATGCAAGACTGCGCCTGCGCACTGCAGCTCCTACGAACAGTACTTTGACTTCTGGGCTCGCTAGATCTGTACGAAGAGTATTTAAGCTTGCAGACCTTTAGCGTTTACGGTCTTCGTTGATCGAATTCGCCGATCATCAACACACATTGCAATGATTGCACTCACTGCTATCTTCATAAACATTCTAATCCTGATGGTCGTAGGTATCACGGCCCATCACTCGGAGTCGTCACAAGTCAGCTTGGCGGCAGCTTACAACTCAGACCCTGCGATCAAAGATGGCTGGGCACGCTATATCATCTGGCAGCACCCAAACCGGACCATCATGCTTCAGTCCCGCGATGGTAGCGAGGGGACTCCTGGTCTGATCACGGTCGAGCGGAGTATAACGCCCAAAAAAAACTCCCCTCTTGCGGCTGTTTACAGTCGGCAGGATAACGGCAAGGGTGGTCGGGTATGAACCCCAGATTCTCTTTTTATGTTTGCTCAGTTTCCCTTGTTTGCGTCAAGTTCTCATCCACGGCTTAGGAGATTGCAATATCCTACCTCAGCGATAAGAACGCCATTGTAACCGTGATGTGCAATCACCGGGACAGCAAGTACTTCGACTGGACCACGACATCCACGGGATCTGAGTCGTCTTCCGGCCTTGCCATGGCCAGAACTAACACCACGCTTCGCCGATTCTTCCTCGACACGGACTGTTTTGTGGTGCAGGAGGTTGGTGGCGAAGTCAGCCGCCTAGGACCCATCGCAATGCCGAAGTCCCCGGTGGCAGCAACAGTTCCTCTGGGGACCAGTGATATCCACGTTTTCTTCCTGTCCGCGGATAAGGCCCTGAGTTCTATCACGTTCAATGGTAAAGTATGGATTGAAGGTACGGAAAAGAAACCCTCCGATTCCGTCGCTGAAGTGATTCATGCTGATTTGGCTCGCCATCAGAAATGCCTGCTATTGACGGCTTTGCCTCGGGGCCTGACATCAACTTCGCTGTAGCAGCCTGGTCCGACCCCTCCATTATCCGAGTCTTCTATATCGATGAGCACAAGGTCCCCGGTGAGTGGACCTTTGAAAACGGCGCCTGGGCAAATACAACTAGAAGTCTGGCTCAGCCACTTGTTAACGGAATCAAGGCTGGTTCCGCAGTTGCCGCCTCCCGCAGCGCCGACGGCACCGGGAGGTACTTGGAGTACTTCTACGCCACTGACGGCGGGCATATCAACTACCTGTCCAGAACCTTTGCCAGCGGGGACCCGTTTCAACTGGAGTTTGCCAGCTTCGAGACACAGAAGGGCAAGGGGCTTAGCGTGCATTCAATTATCGGGACTACTTCAGGCATTGTTTCTGGAGCTTTGGCTTTCATTGGTGTCTTCCTCGCCTATAGGTACAGAAACAGAAGGAGCAAGGACCCCGTGAAGGGTGTAACAAGCTCATCGTCTACTTCTATTCCCAACAGCGTACAGGAAGGCACCGCAGCAGAGAGCGCCATGCCTGTGGTACAAGGCAATCCCGAGTCAGTTTGTCAGAAAGATTGCGTTTCTAAATGATTTCGGTTATCTAGTGCTGGGATAGCCCAGAGCCCTGACTATGTTTCTTGGAGATAATACTGGAGCATCCAACCGACGCGACATAAACGAAGTTAAAGAACTTCTTGTACTGTTTGCGCTTACTTAGCTCTGAAGGCAGGCCAAAGGAATATAAAGTGCCGCACAAGAAGAGAGCAAGTGACCCGCAATCTTCACTTCGTCACTGCTGGACCTTCTCGAAAGTGAGTGGCCGTGTTAGTGGAGAACTGGAGACATAATACTAAACTTAATAAGACGTGTTCTCATGAGAAACGACAATGCATGAGTGAAGCCCCTAGAATGTCTGGCTTCGGTCGTTCCTGCTACGACACAATCATGCAGTTATTGAAGCTGCTTTCGCCATTGAAAGGCACAAGGAGCCCCAGATTGGCTTCTTCGTTCGGGTTCGATGTGTGAACGTCACTTCTTCGGGGTTCTGCTCAGCATTCGCTGCCGCCAACAGCGATTACGTTGTCCAGGTCGTCTAATGCTTCTGATCACGTGACTCTCCCTGTGCAACGTCAGGCTCAGGCTCCGACGAACGGCGATAGCGGGGCTGCGCCATATTATCACAGTGTCCACCTCGACCCAGGCTCGACAAGAAATGACCGAAAACTCACGGTTGCGTGATGGCGAAGGATTCTTAGGCGGTTCGCCCGGTCGATCCAGGCTGTTTGGTCAGGAGGCATGATATTGGCATTGCAGATGTCGTTCGTATCTGATTAACAGGCTGGTCACGTCTGACGCTGGCTGCACGTGCTCCATTCGGTTGCTTTCAGTTTCTCTCTCACATATCAAACTCTTAAGACCAACGCAAGTTCAGCGACTGTTTTGCAAGTTATCAACCACTTGAATAACTAGAGATGTGCTAGTAAAACGAGCTCGGTCGGTTCGGGACATATGGGCTTGTCACCGTGGGCTAGTCACCCTATGGACGTCCACCCTCTGCGTTCGGCTCGGGCACGCATTTCTCTTGCTAAGGCGTGCCCGGTTCCGTCTTTCGAGGGGCAATCAGGTCAGGGACTGGAGGGACTCGGACTAGGTAGGCGGACTCGATCGCATCAGGTGGGGCAGGGGCGTATCTGTGGGTGAGCCATGAAGGAAGGAACGAACCTTGGCTCCAGTCTCGAGCAGCTGCTGGGCTAATAGGCTTCTAAGATCGAGGCCTTGTGCGTCGAGGTGGGCGACTGGACTGGGCTGGAGGTGGGATGTTTTTCTGCAGCGAGACTACCCCTCCCCCGCTTCGCATCACCTCACCTCACCTCCGTGTGTGCCCAGCGCAGCACAATGCGCCTTTTCTTGTCAGTCGCCAATCAGAGCGCTGGTCAGTGAAGCTATCAGGCCAACAGATGTGCTATGGAGCTGCACACTCTACGTACGCTCAACGCCTGGCGCTTTGCCTGCAGTGTAGGTACGTAGTATGCACTATGCAGTGGCTCTGAGAGACCCCTCCTCTCCTGTCGGTCCCAGCGCCTCTAGTAGTCCTCAGGCCCGCCCCAATTTCGAAGATGCACTGGGCGCTTTAAATCACCCCGCCGGCATCTTTTTTTCTGTCCCTTCCCTTCTTCCTCCTCTCTCATCCTCCTCAACCCTTTCCTAACCCGTCAATTCGTCTTCTACCGGGTGGAATTATCTTTTCCTTGTCTTTCACAGGTTCTGCCGTCTTGAGTACGAGAACCTTTCTCTCCCAGATAAGTACGTCTCATCGCAGGTGCCCTTGTCCTTGACGCCGCTTTCGCTACCCCTCTACCTGATCCAAAAAAACTCTAAACTTAACTCACCTTCAATGGCTGTTTTCTGACTCTATCCCCAGCCCCATCTCTCGACCGATCCGCTGCACGTATCTGACCCAGCCGGCAAGATGGTTCAGTCCGCCATTCTCGGTTTCCCCCGCATGGGTGAGCTCCGTGACCTGAAGAAGGCCACCGAGGCTTGTGAGTGCTCCGTTTTCGGATTGTCTTGACCGCCGAATTGCTGACTAGCCGAAGACTGGGGCGGAAAGATCTCCAAGTCTGACCTTCTCACCGAGGCCAAGCGCTTGCGTCTGGCGCACTGGAAGATCCAGCAGGCTGCTGGTGTCGACAGCATCCCCAGCGGCGACTTTGCCCTCTACGACCACGTCCTCAACCACATCCAGGACTTTGGCGTAAGAACCTCTCACCAACATTTACCGAACGTGTTGCTAACGTTGCTCTACAGGCGGTTCCTCCTCGCTACACCAAGGATGGCCTCGACACCGTCGACCAGTACTTTGCCATGGGCCGTGGCCACCAGAAGGACGGCATTGACGTTCCTTCGCTGGAAATGGTCAAGTGGTTCGACTCGAACTACCACTACGTCAAGCCTACCTTCCAGGACAACCAGACCTTCAGCCTTGCCGAGACCCCCAAGGTTGTCTCCGATTTCCTTGAGGCTAAGGAGGCCGGTATCAAGACCCGCCCTGTCATTGTTGGTCCTGTGACCTTCCTCCACCTCGGCAAGGCCGACCGTGAGCAGTCTGTCGACCCCATTGACCTTCTCGAGAAGCTTCTGCCCGTCTACGAGCAGCTCCTCGCCAAGCTCAAGGAGGCTGGCGCCGAAACCGTCCAGATTGACGAGCCCGTCCTTGTCTTTGACTTGCCCGCCAAGAGCAAGAACGCCTTCAAGCCTGCCTACGAGAAGTTCGCCAGCCTGGGTGCCAAGATCCCCAACCTGGTGCTGACCACCTACTTTGGCGATATCGTCCACAACCTTGAGGCCCTGCCCAAGGATATCTACGGTGTCCACGTCGACCTCGTCCGCAACCCTGAGCAGCTTGACACCGTTGTCGGTGCTCTTGGCCCCAAGACCGTCCTCTCTGCTGGTGTTGTCGACGGCCGCAACATCTGGAAGACCAACTTCAAGCGCGCCATTGAGACAGTCGAGGCTGCCATCCAAAAGCTTGGCAAGGACCGCGTGATCGCCGCCACCTCTAGCTCGCTCCTCCACACTCCTCACACACTCGCCAGCGAGAAGAAGCTCGACCCCGAGATTGCCGATTGGTTCTCCTTCGCCTCGGAGAAGGCTGTTGAGATCGCCATCATTGCCAAGGCTGTCACCGAGGGCCCTGCTGCCGTCCGCGAGCAGCTTGAGGCCAACGCCAAGTCCATGCAGGCCCGTGCTACCTCCAGCCGCACCAACGACCCCAAGGTCAAGGAGCGCCAGTCCAAGATCACCGAGCAGGACTACAAGCGCAAGAACGAGTTCCCTGCCCGTATCGAGCAGCAGCAGAAGAAGCTCAACCTCCCTCTTTTCCCCACCACCACCATTGGTTCTTTCCCCCAGACCAAGGAGATCCGCGGCTACCGCAACAAGCTCACTAAGGGTGAGATCACTGCGGAGCAGTACGACAAGTACATCGAGAAGGAGATCCAGGACAACGTCAAGATCCAGGAAGAGCTTGGCCTCGATGTCTTCGTCCACGGCGAGCCCGAGCGTAACGACATGGTTCAGTTCTTCGGTGAGCGCCTTGACGGTTATGCCTTCACCACCCACGCCTGGGTTCAGAGCTACGGTTCCCGCTGCGTCCGTCCCCCAATCATTGTTGGTGACATCTCGCGTCCCGCTCCCATGACCGTAAAGGAGTCCAAGTACGCTGTGTCAGTCTCCAGCAAGCCCATGAAGGGTATGCTGACTGGTCCTGTCACCTGTTTGCGCTGGTCTTTCCCCCGTGACGACGTTCACCAGTCCGTCCAGGCCGAGCAGCTCGGTCTCGCTCTCCGCGACGAGGTTATTGACCTCGAGAAGGCTGGCATCGACGTCATCCAGATTGACGAGCCTGCTCTCCGTGAGGGTCTCCCTCTCCGCTCCGGTGAGGAGCGAACCAAGTACCTCGACTGGGCTGTCAAGGCTTTCCGTCTCAGTGCCTCGGGTGTTGAGGATGCCACCCAGATCCACTCCCACTTCTGCTACTCGGAGTTCCAGGACTTCTTCTACGCTATTGCTGCCCTCGATGCCGATGTTCTGTCAATCGAGAACTCCAAGTCCGACGCCAAGCTCCTCAAGGTCTTCGTCGACGAGGCTTACCCCCGCCACATTGGCCCCGGTGTCTACGACATCCACTCGCCCCGTGTCCCCAGCGAGCAGGAGATCAAGGACCGCATCGCTGAGATGCTTCAGCACCTCAAGCCTGAGCAGCTCTGGATCGACCCTGACTGCGGCCTGAAGACCCGCCAGTGGAAGGAGACGAAGGAGGCCTTGATCAACATGGTCAACGCTGCCAAGGCCTTCCGTGCCCAATACGCCAAATAAGTGTGCTGTCACACGTGCATAGGGGACGTTGAAGAAAGAGAAACGACTGTGACAATTAGTGTGCAATTTGACAGCAGCTGCCTCAACGGCGGCTACGATTTCAACATCGGCGTTTGGGCCAAGGAAGGGGATTGAATATTCAGCAAAGCATGCAAAAAGTTTAGCCTGTGGTCAAAGGATGCGGCCAGGCTTGCATTCAACATAGATGATTAATGATGAACATATTAAGTATTTCAGATCCAGTTCCAGAATCACCAAGATTGCAACTTTCCACAACAGTCGACCAGGCTATTCCACCTTGTGATCACGAACCAAAGGGGGATCACCAATTACTCAGTTCTGTAGCAGTTGCGCAGTGGTGAACTAGGGGTCCTTAGGCGGCACGCGGTTGATATACACGTATCACGACAGCCTTGTTGCAGGCCCGGGAGTGCTCCATGATATTAATGACATGGTTCGCCTTTGGACAATTGTTAATAACGGAGTGTGAGGAAAATCGGGGCAGGCCCGAGGATTCAAAACGAGGATTCAAAGGTAAAGAAGGTCACGTGTTCTCGCGTATCCCTCTCCTCCTGTTGATACCGCGGTCGCGTACGACACCGTTCTTATCACGACACACGTATAACCCACCTCTACGTTAAAGCACTTGCTCCATCTTAGGGCTTCATTTTGCTATGGCACCCCTTGTTATAGCTGACTCAGATGACGAGGATGACCTCGTGTATGCACCTGAAACACATAGCTCGCCTCAACAATCGAATTGTGGTGATGAGGCGCACTCCTCGGGCTATGTGAGCCTCATGGGCCCAGTGGAAACACCAGGCTCGCGTAACGCCTCAGATCGGCGCGACAATATGGTGCAGACTGGTCAGCGAAACACCCACCGGTACTCTCCCATGTCAACCGATCCGCTTCATGCGCAAACGAGCATTGGTGGAAATGCTCGCCACATTCAACAAACCCCCAGACCACATGGCATGAGGATCGCTGCTCCCCATGGACTGAGCGACTATTCACTGCAGATGCCCAGTAGTCCGCCTAGGTCCAACGGGTCAACTGAGTTTGATGAAGGCGACAGAGCAAAGAAGAGGAGAAAGGTTGGTATGCTCCCTTCTTTCGCCGACGATGACGAAATGAGCCTGGTGGAGTTGCCCGGGAAAGAAAACATCGACAAAAGAACACAAAAGCAATCATCGCTCGCCATGCCGCCCCCAACGCTGCCCGATGTCCAGACCAGTCTGATGGTCGAGCAAGCTAGACTGTACGGCAATGAAAAGAACGGCGGTTCTTCGGGGACAAATTCTGCCACCGATCATCTTAGCCAGGATCAGGGGCCCCAGGTTGCGCCATGTGCCTTGATACGGTCAAGCGGCTCTGCTACGAACATCAACACGCAGAGAAGTGAGATGCCTTTCCCACCGAGTTTTGAGATACCTTTCCCTCCGAGCATGCCATCACCGGCTCCGTCTCAGCATCTTCAAACAGAACCAGCCGAAATGACCAGCGGTACAAGGGGTGATCGGGATGCTTCTCCGAAGAAGAGTCCAAGCGTTGAGCACTGTCCATGTCCTTTGGCAGAAGAAAGCAACTCGCAGGTTGCTCCCAATGAGACAAACGCCATTCAGAAACCACTCAGTCAAGTTGAAGCTCTGCCTCTCGTGGGCGAGAACCAGGCAATACAGAATAACGCTGCCCCCGTCATCAATAATGGCTCTGATGAAGAGTTTGTGGAACAACCGGCTAGACCGAAGAAGCAGCGCGGTCGACCAAGAAAAACTGCTGCTCCTGATGTATCACGGGCGGAAGCTGGAGCTGCCATGGCAACGGATCCCGCCGATCCGCCCCAGACCGCAAGCAGTAAGAAGTTAACAAAACCAAAGAAGAAACGAGGCAGGCCGAAGAAATCGGGTCGCCAGGACACTAAGGCAGAGCGGGCTGCAGCGGATGTTCCCGTCATCGGTGATCCTGCTCCGGAACTTAACGCAGCATTCCATGAGAAGCCGGAGTTTGAGCATCACACTGCAACTGAGCACGTGGATGCGGGCACGGTGGCTCCGGCCAATCCAGACGTACAAGGTGCTACCAAAGAAGCTGTCGCACCACGCAATGACCTGGAGAATAAAGATGCAGACATCAAAGACAAAAGCCTCTTAGATGCCGAGGTCAAACGCATGACGCCCCAGAAGCAGGAGACCCCCCAGGAAAAGAAAGAGGCTGCCAGAGCGAAGCCAGTACCTGGCCCTCAGAGCACAGGGAAACCGATCTACAGAGTTGGACTGAGCAAGCGGTCAAGGATAGCTCCTCTGTTGAAAGTTGTGCGAAAGGAGTGAATGCCGATCCTCCTACTTGGATACACGAATAGAGAATGAAGCTTTTGGTGTCGCGGGCGTCCGACACTGGCAACTTATGCTCATCAAAATCATACATGGGTCGCGAAGACGCAGCAATTCCAGTTGTTCCGCACATACAAGCTGACTCCTTTTATGGGCGGATGCTCACGCGCGAAGCAGCAATGCTACCTCAGGCCATCAATACGACTGGGGCTGAAGGCAACCACGGCTTTCATGCGCCAGCCAAGGTTGTCGGCAGGCAAGCAGACCGCCTTCGCCAAGCATAAGGTTTGGCGTATCACTGAATTGGTACCGGAGACAACCCAAGACAGGCGCCGATCTCAGTGACCCGGTCCGAGCATGTCATATGGGACGATGACAAATATGCGGCTGTCAACAGCCGGGTTCACTGGTTGGAAACAAGAGAAGGAGAGCGCATGGGAGCCTCCGCGACATCGCTACGATACGAAGGCACGGCGTGACAGAGTGTCGTTGCTAGGTTAATTATTGACTTCGCAGTAGCCTGGTATATTCAATGGCTCGACTCGGAGCCTCTGTTGTGGAACGCCCCCTACCTACCCTGCACAAGAGCAGACAGACAGGGTCTGGAAATTGGCAAAGTCGGTAGACCCCGCACTAGGCGCTTTCGGGAAGAGGGGCAGCGCTGGTCAGAGTGACCGATGCCGGGCAAGTGCAGACGAGAAGAGCCACCGGTCTGGGCAACTTGGAAGCCATCCTGACTCTTAAAAAAGCGCGCTATTATTGTCGCTGGCTGAGGTGGCTGCTGTTGGATCGGAAGCAGAATTTGCAGCCGCTCCAATTCACACTCGCTTTGCTAGACACGGTCGAGACCTACCTGTGAAATAGTTCCGTCTGGTTACGGTGGTTTCCGTTGGTGATTCCTCAGGTACGTCTCAGAGAGGCCGAGAAAAGTGCGTGTCTGGCTGTCAGAGCTACTCCATAGTCCGTACACCGCGCCTTGCCTTGCCTACCTTACCTTGCCATACTTATTTTGCACCCTTGTTGGTACTCCCTCCACGTCAACCCACCGCCGGCCTATACTTACCACATACCTACCTAGCTCTTTGAGAGCCCTGGCGATTTTGCGTCTCTTTTCTGGTCGTGTCTGACAGCCTTCCACAGTTCACTGCCTGCGCCGGCCCACAACTACTCGACGGCTCCGAAACCGCTGCGAAGCAAACGCAGCAACCTCGCAGGAAGAGCCATGGCTTCCAACGGCGTTGATCAGAACGGCTCTGCAAGCAGTCACACCCCGTCGCAGCGGTACTTGAGCACTCGAGGCGAGGACGAGGGTGTAAGTACCATCCTTGCGCATCTCTCCTTTAACACATTGTCTGATCAATTGATGCTATTCAGTTCTCTTTCGAGGAAGTCGTCCTCAAAGGTCTGGCCAACGATGGCGGTCTCTACATCCCCGAGTCGATCCCCACACCGCAATCATGGGAAAGCTGGAAGGATCTCAGTTTCCCGGAACTGGCCTACGAGATTCTCTCCCTTTACATCTCCCCTTCGGAGATCCCTCCAGCGGACCTGAAAGATATCATCGATCGCAGTTACTCCACCTTCCGATCCCCCCAGACCACGCCTCTGGTTCATCTCCACGACGACCTCTACCTTCTCGAACTATTCCACGGCCCAACTTTCGCGTTCAAAGATGTCGCACTCCAGTTTCTTGGCAACCTCTTCGAGTACTTTCTGGTGAGGAAGAACCAAGGAAAGACTGGCCGTGGTAAGAAAAAAGGAGTACACAGCACGTGGCGTAGCTTAGCTGACAGGTAGCAGAGCGTCATCATCTTACTGTCGTTGGCGCAACGAGCGGTGACACCGGATCGGCTGCCATCTACGGTCTCCGAGGCAAGAAGGATGTTTCTGTGTTCATATTGCACCCCAAGGGTCGCGTCAGCCCGATCCAGGAGGCACAGATGACCACTGTTCTTGACAACAATGTGCACAATCTTGCCGTGACAGGAACCTTTGATGATTGCCAGGTAAGTTGCTGTTCCCTATCAAACGCATTTCGTACGCTCACCAGATGCAGGACATTGTGAAAGCACTCTTTGCCGATAAAGACGCCAACGAGAACTTGAACCTAGGTGCCGTCAATTCCATCAACTGGGCCCGTATCCTCGCACAAATCGTCTACTACTTCCACTCGTACTTTTCACTTGCCAAGAAGTCCTCTACCTTCAAGGTGGGCGACAAGGTTCGCTTCGTCGTGCCAACAGGTAACTTTGGCGACGTTCTTGCTGGCTACTTTGCCCTGCGCATGGGCCTCCCCATAGAAAAGTTGGTCATCTCTACGAACGAAAATGACATTCTGGATCGCTTCTGGAAGACTGGGAAATACGAGAAGAAGAAGGCTCGCGGGGCAGACGCTGTGGGTGGGCTTGCTGTGGACGGCGCAATGGCCCATCCTGATGGTGTCAAGGAGACTTTGAGCCCGGCCATGGACATTCTCGTCTCCAGCAACTTTGAGCGACTGCTGTGGTTCTTGGCGTATGAGTTTGCCAAGACTGCCAATATGGATGACCAATGGAACAAGAGACAGGCCGGCCAGGAAGTCAGCAAGTGGCTGAAAGAGCTCAAGGCAACAGGCGCATTTGGCCCTGTGTACCAGGATGTTCTCAAGACGGCCAAGCGCGACTTTGACAGCGAGCGTGTCACTGACCCAGAGACCATTGAGACCATCCAGAACACCTTCAAGGATATCGGATATGTGCTTGATCCGCACACTTCGGTCGGTGTTACGGCTGCCCACCGCTCTTTGGATTCGGAGGACGGCAAGGCCCACCCCCATATTGCCTTATCCACGGCGCATCCAGCCAAGTTCTCGGGGGCTGTTGATATGGCTCTACGTGGTGAAGAGGGGTTCAATTTTGAGAAGAACGTCCTGCCAAAAGAGTTTGTTGGTTTGGAGCAGAGGGAGAAGCGTGTGACCGACTCGGAGAATGATTGGGCCAAGGTTCGCGAGCTGGTCAAGCTGCAGGTCGAGCAGGAGCTCAAAGAGAGTAATTAGACGCTCAAGAGGCGAGTTGCTCGAGCACAGAACAAAATGATTGAAAATCTACATCTTTGTCCTGTATGTGTTTGGGTCTGTGAGTTTCCTCTTGTAATATCTCGCCAACAAGGCTCTTGTTGAGATCTCGGCAAGGCAGAGCACACTTGCAATGAAGACGTGGTCCACGTTGTGTTTTCAATGATGCCTTGGCTCTGCTCCCGGCATGCATAGTCTGAGTGCCAACTCGCATCACTGCAAGGTTACTTATGGTAGTACGACAGTACCATCCGTCATATTAACAAAACGCCCCCTTTGTATTTGTTGCTTATGGGAAAAGAAGCGTCGATCACTCGTGTGCAAGCAATGTGTCCTCTGCATACGACAGCACCAGCAAGCCCTGCGGCTGTGAATGTAAGCATCAAGGAACAAGCCTCGCTTTCGTGAAGCTATCACTGTCAAATGATGTGCATCCCGATTGTTGCTGGAGTGGTTTGAAGGGTATCACGAGACGAAATTGCTCAATGATTGATATATTTCTCATCTAGATTGTCGAGATAATTCGCCCTAGAGAAGCAAAACCATCCGAAATAGCTGCCCGATGATGCACAAAGCAGTGGTTTCCGAGTGTTTATGACGTCTGCAGTCTTGTTTGTATGCAACGGGGGCTCGCCTGAGATATTCTCAAACGCGGAATGAGGCAGCTGCCAGCACCCATCGGCTCCAGCCATCCAAATAATCAAAAAGATCTGTTGGACAAGACCCGCACGCGTGATGATAGTTACGCCACGGGCTTGCTGGATGAATCAAATGATTCTAGCAAACAATAGAAAGTCCACATTGGCAGGTTGTTTGGCGGGCTTCAATCACTCGCCTGGCTTCACAGGGAACGGGTATAAAGGCATGCTCTCCCCCCTACACCACACACCCCTTTTTCTTCTTTTTCTTCTTCTCTCCTCAGAACACTTCAAAACCTTCACACAACACCACAGACTCTTTGCACAAACGCACCAACTTGCCCACTTCACAACAGCTCCTACACAACCCATCTACGCTCTCAACATGTCTGGCAACAACCAGAACGACAAGGCCAACCCCATGGGTCAGGAGGACAAGTTCCGTATCATGTCGGCCAACGTGAGTGAGTTGGCTACAGTCCAGTTTGACTTGATGCTAACTTTGCCAGGCCAAGCAGCTGAACGACCCCGGTTTCGCTGGCCGCGCCCAGTCCGCGGCTGACAAGAACCAGCATGCTCAGAACATGCAGGCTAAGGCTCAGCAGTCTGGCAACAAGCAAAAGTAATTCACGGGGGACAGCAGACTGGAACTCAACATCTGGACGTGGATGTGGAAAGGACAGGTAGTCTGCCATTGTGAGGCTTGCAGTGTCGTTGGCTCAGTGCACGGGGTCGACAACGCGATTTCTCAGGCCCCCCCTTTACCCCTTTTCTGGTCGCTTTAGGACGATGAATACGAATTGATTTGATACGCCAAAAACTAAAATTGATGTGCGTGTTCATTGATTGATGCAAAGTAAGATCCGCGCCCCCTGACCAATCCCTAAACCTTCAGAGTGCATTTGCCAAACCATGCCCCTGGGTATCCCGTCCGGCCAAATAAACGCCATTAAACACATTCACCAGAGTGCCATGTTTCCCCCTGGTTCAGCATTGTTCCTAGGTACAGGTAAGAGAAATAACAGTCCATCAGTGCTACCCCTGGCAGCCTGGGGCACTTTCAGGAGGCGATATCGTTATCCATTGTCTTGATATGCTTCTTGATGAACTCGAATGACGAGAAGAAAATGGCATTGACGACACAGGAGCGGCTCATGGATACTCCCAAGCCGCGATACATGTGACCTTTGAAGAATTCGATCCTCGGTGCCGGTACCTTCTCACCTTTCGAATACAAGAGGGCGTTGCGTTGGTAGATGCTTTTTGCGGAGTCAATTGGGTCTGTGGTAGTTATCAGCACCTCTGGGAGCCATTACAGGCAGCGATCCAGAACTCACAGATCATGGCCCATGATACGAGCCCACATAAGCCACCCGCTGCCACAACTGCCACACGGTTCGTGTTAGGATCGTTTCCCCCGAATGTTGTGATGAGCTGTTTGGAGCTTTCGTAGACCATGAAGTAGATGGACGTCCCCAGAGTATCACGTACTATTTGTCCTCGTGTCAGCGAATTGACTTGCCTAGCGTGATCTTTGTATAAACCCACAGAGATGAAGCCTGAAGCCCGTGTAGAGCCCCCATGGTCCACGGTGCTTCATTATGTTGCGCATAGTCCGAAAGGTGCCCTTGTTTTGATAACTAGCGGCAACCGCCCGGCTTCGCGGGCAGGTGCCTGCTCGATCCGCCAAGAGGACAGAGACCTGAGCACTTAACTTTGTCAACTCGAAAGGGCAGGCTAAGAATGTAATGGCCGATCCAGCTGTTGCGCCGGCAGCACCAAAGCATCCAATCGAGTAGAGGTTCGGGTATGTGCCAGGCTTGTTGACGTGGCGTAGAATATCGTAATTCAGATTCCTTTTCACCCAGGCGGCATATGAATGCTTTGCGCGTTGGTACAGAGAGAAGGAGACGGTTCGAACAAGAGTAACGCTAGCCATCGGGGCTGCCACGCCTACTTGAGGTTAACAACCACACCGCGTGCGATCTCCCACGGTCACCTACCTCGAAAGAATCCACCAAGTTTCTCCGTATTGTAGGTGTGTCGTACGCAATCTAGGAAACCCCGATACTGGTATGTCTGCATTCGGGTCTTTACGCTGTCCAGCGGAAACGCAGCGAGCGTCGAAAAAACGCTCGACGTGCTAGCAGCTATCTCGGTTCGGTATCTCTTGACAAAAGGTTCGGAAGCCGTGCCGCTTGGCGCGTCGTGCTGACGACGGTCTTTCTGGGCCCCTCCGGCTCCCGAGTCGGAACGAGGCATGACGACTGAGGCTGCGAGGTCGAATGGGACATTTTGTTGACCAGCAATTTTGGCCTCAATGGTCATGCTGCAATCGCGCGAGGCCTGGCAAGGGCGGGCAGACTGGCGAGGATGCGCGATGACCCTCAGTCGCCCTGTCCCTTGGGCGGGGACGGCGAGAGCTGAACTGCCTCGACCAAGACCCTGTACAAGTCTTGGAACTCTGGCGCGAGTCTGTTGGTGTTGCCCGCAGCTTTAACAGTTGGATGAGGCTTGACGTTAGGCAGCTGCGAATCGTGACTCTATCCGTGACGTCGGCTCGAAGGGTCGATCGGGAATGCGTCAACGGCGCAGTGGGGCATCAGCAAGAGTCAAGATGTTTCTTTGTCCACAGTTGTAAAGGCGGGGATGGAAGACGCCTTGCTGAGTTGATCTAGACGAAACGAAGATGGAGAAGTGTGTTTTGGCAGCAGGCGTGCATGTGCTCGTCACGTCGTAGATCGGTCGAGAGTTGATGGTGGGATGCAGGCTCAGAGGGCCTGGAATGGAATTGATTACAGACGCCGGAAAGGCCTCGAGCGACCTCGATGGAGTTGGCAGCGCTGAGATGCGATGGGAAGCCATGCACAGCAGGGCAATGTGCAAGCTACTCACTTACCTCCTAAGTCGACCATCCATCCAAAGGCAAACGGAGAAGGGTCGTGATACTGTGGTAATGTGATGACACGCCGTTGAGCGGTTCATCTGTTGGAGACGGGATGGCAGTCGTCAGGGCCGTGATTGGCTGATCCGGATCCAGCAGTTGGCCTAGCCAGGCAGCTGTTCGCTACGGAAGGCACTCTGGACACCGGCATCTGCTCCACTCGGTGGCGTCCCCCAGCCAATTATCGATAGCAGGGGAATTGCATCCCTCAGCAAACAGAGTGCGGGGGTCTGCTATGCCCGTCTAAGTGAGTCTCTACTGCGGCTGTGGCGCGTAATAAAGTTCGGAATATCGGTGCTACAAAGTGTAAGAGCAGATTCCCAGCTCAACGTTCGCAGGTGGCTACTAGGTATTATGAGAAGCACGCTCAGCCAGGTCTGGAGACACAGTGCAGGATAGTTTATCGAAGCAGCTGCGCATGATTGCATCACTCGATAGAGGACTTGGCCATACATGGGGAATGGAATGATCCGCATCTTGACATCTAAAACCCATGCAATCCTTAGACCTTGATCTCGTGCATATCGCTGGAACATGAGGCTGGCTATGATATTTACTTCCGCAGAGCCATTGAGTGTCGCTGAGAGGAACAATCAAGGTGGGTGTGTATTCAGGACAGGGCCACATGCCACGCTAGATACAGCACCGTACAAGCCGGGCTTGTAATCCCTGGCGACAGAGTGAATCATGTCTCCCCGGGCCCTGCCAGCGAAGCGTCCTCTGGGGCTTTTGGCTGATAGTGCTCGGACCTGCCTTGCTCGCAGCATCCTTTCGCAGTAGGCGTTATGATCGGAAATGTGCTAAACGAGTGGCTGTACGTTTCATGATGCAGATGCAGATGCCGACGCCTCACCTGAAGCCTCTTTGCCAGCGTCTTCTGCCGGTGCCTCGGCCTCGAGTGAAGGATCAACGGGCGGCGGCGCGCTTCCATTGAATGAAGACAGCATCCGGTCTTCTTCCTTCTTCGCCTGGATGGCTTCAGTTTCCTTGCGCATCCTCTCCAGGTTCCAGACATCGTCGTCAGCATCGTCGTCGGAGTCATCTTCATCACGCCATTTGCCGCTCTCGAACAAGTCACGACCAGTCGTTTCCTTGGCTTTCCTTGCTTGCTCCTCTGCAGCTTTCTTGTCCAGCCGTTCCTTCTTCCACTTGGCGAAGCTCTCCGGTGTGACCGGCGTGAGCGTGCCAGTGAGCTTGTGACGCTCAGACTCCAGAAAGTCTTCGAGGGTGAGAGTCTTGAGTGGCGACTTGTCCAGAAGCGCCTTCTCAGCCGCACGTTGTTCTTTCGTTTTCAATACGAAGCTGGGTCACGTTAGCTTTGAAGCGATAATGTACGAACTTCGAAGAACTTACCCAGGTGGTAGTGCGTGCACATACATGCACTTGTCTCCTCCATTCGGACAAGTCCAAAACCAGCCGTACTTTCCATCCTCAATGGCTTGGATAAAGTACTTGCAGACCTTTTCCGTTGTCGTTCTCTGGTTGCCCTTCTTGGACAGGACCACCTTTCGAAGTTGATCTTCGTCCCAATCAGCAGACGTCTCGGCCTTCTTCTTCTCAGCCTCCGCTTCTCCTTCTCGCGCATCTGTGTACAAGTTCTTCTTCTCTGTCTTGCGCTCGATTGAAGTGTCGTGGGAGAACTTGCACTTCTTTCCCTTTTCACAGTTGCCCTTCTTGAAGAAGATGCAGACGACGGTCTTGGGGTCCGTGCCGAACGGCACTCTCTGAATTTGAGCTGCCTTGTTGAGTAGAAGCTCTGTCTCCCTTTTGGCATCTTCGGCTGCCTTCTTCTCCTTCTCGCGCTGGGCCCTGTCTGCAGCCTTCTTCTTCTCTTCGGCAGTACCACCAGCGGCCAAATTCTTGGTCATCTGCTGAATCTGCCTCTGTGCCTGCGCTCCCTTCTTGTTTTTCATTCCAAAAGTCCGGTCCTCAACCTGTTGTTTGGCGCCTGGCTTCTTGCCAGAGCCTTGCGTTTTGTCCTTTTTTGGTGCCATGGTGGGCTGCGGCGGGGTTCGAACGCTGTACAAAGGGAAGGCGATGTAGTTTAGAAAATGTAGATAACCCGCCGCAGATGAGTTTGATAATTTTATAAACAGGTGTTATGCTCGCTGGGGGTCGGATACGCTCGTTTTCTCGACGGCCGTGGGCGTTGAAACTTCTGTCTCTCGACGACTGGAGATGGTGGTGGGCAAAAGGCTTTGTCGCCAATGAGGTCACTGAAGGTCACGTGTGGTGATTCTCAGCACCACTGGCCCGCATCAAGTGGACCTTCAACTCGGCCGGAGCTAGCGCCCGGGGACATTGGGATGAAGCTGCGAGTTGTTCAGTACTTACATCTGCCATTCAAGTCGACAAGCATCGCGACCTGTGGTTTTCTGAAATCTTGGTAACGTAAGTCAAGGCGCCTGCATAAATAAGCCCACGCTTACTAGTGGCAGTTACCTCCTCCGTGATCAGCTGCCGCCCCAAGGCCAACCGACAAGATGATTTCCGACAACGACCTCTACTCGCTTGCCCTCTTTCTGGGCTCCGCCTCAATGATCCTCATTGTCTTATATCACTATCTCGAAGTAAACGCCCCCGACGCTGTTCCAGATGCTTCGCGGAAGACACAATGAGCGGCGAGTACGAGCGCCAATGGCGGATGATTTTGATACCCGAATTCGCGAAAGCAAGATCTAGCTAGGACACCCACACCCAGCGAGACATATACGACAGAAGGCGGTGCTACAGATGCCAGGAAAAAGGAGGATTATCTGACACCAACGTCGGCGTATCGCCTATGCAACATGGGGCACCTGAGAAGTGGAAGACAGCCAGTGACGGAACCAACGACATCGACAAGGTCCAACGAAGCTCTAGCTGAACGATCGCACAGCGATGGCTAGCAACGTGCATCTTCTGTATATGTTGGCATGTCACTGGCCACATGGATGGGAAGAGCAGTCACACTATCAGGCATAAGGCCTCTTCCGCGCCTTATACCATATCAAATTCCGCAATCCCTCCAAGAAAATATACAAAGTACCCCTGTCACTCAGAAATCTAGCCCTGCCCAACCTTTCTCCAGCACAGTGAGGAGCTTTCGAATAGGAGTCTTGACATGCGATGTTCGATTGCCTCACGGCGCATGCTGAACCCAACGCAACCAGTGGGATGGGCGTGGCAGCTTCTTCCCGCCATCATGCTTACCATTTGTTCAACGCTATGATTTCGTCGTCTGGATGGAAAGCGGAGACGGTGGCGGGTGTGTTCTATGGGTGAAATTTTTGCAATAATTGACCTTAGTGACAATTATGTCTGAGTTCCCATGGTCGGGCGCGGCAACTCAAGCTTCAATATTCAGCGCGGAGACAGAGAGCCAAGCAGGGGCTTCTGCAACGTCCTTGGGAACGACTGAGCTCAATGTGAAGGACTGTCATACATTTCTGAGGCCGTCTCATTTGGGCAGTTCTAACACAATAATAGGAAATAGTATAGATAGCTCCCTGCGCCTTAATCGCGATCCTGTGAGGCGCACTTCCGATGAATTAGTTGGCATGTAAGGCACGTACCGTAGCTGCTTGAGCCTCGGACGGGGGCAGTGTGGCTGGATCATTGGCTGGCAACGTCCAGCACTCACACTTCAGCTGGCGCCTCAGGCATAATTTGGCGCGCCTCACAGTGCTTTCAGAGCGAAGCTTGTCCCGTCGCGGGCCAAACACGGTCGCCCCTCCCGCGTAGGAACAGGTTCCTTTCCTGAACAGACCCTTCATCCTCCCTCACAACACCGTGCTCCTTTCAACTCTCTTGGTTCATCAACCATACCCCATCCAAGCAACCAAGCAAAGCGACAAAGTCTTCACTTCACTATCGCGCACTCCAAAGCTGCGCTCTTCTTTCCAGCAAGTCTCATTTAAAGCTCACGGACTTGAACATTCCTTCACACCAAAAACCATACTGCTTCTTCAGCTGCGCAATCGCGACGAACGCTCCTGCACTCTCGTCGCTTTCTGACCATCGCGGCATTCCTCTTTTGCAAGCTTCATACCGCTTCTTTTCTCGAAGCCTTCGTTCAACAACGACAACCCACATTTTAATCCTCACAAACCACCCTCACCATCACCACAATGTCTAGCAACCTCGACAAGGCTCTCGGCGAGATCGAGAAGACTCAGCGCCGTGCCGGTAGCCGTCGTCGCACCCAGCGCAACGCCGCCGCTCGTGCCAAGGTCGCCATTGCTGCCCCAACTGGAGGTGTCAAGAAAACTAGCAAGCCCGCCCACAAGGCCGGTGCTAAGGTTGCGCCTGCCCAGATTGCGCCTGCCAAAGGCGAAAGCAAGGTTATCGTGAGCAACCTGGTAAGCGCTTTCTTTCCTTTACGCAAGGCCCATTATTAACAAAATCAGCCTAGGGATGTCACTGAGCAGCAGATCAAGGTATGTTTCCGCTGAGGCATCTTTCGCCTGCGGACTTTATTCGATCATTCCTCGCGTGTACCTTTGGATTCCGATGCAGCGAGTACGAGCGAGAGTTGCTCAGATTCTTTCGATTCGAGACGTCCTCCTATAGCCACCCTCTCTGGAAAACGAGCGATTGTTTGAAATACTACATCGTTTCGAGAGGTCGAGATATCCTTGTCGCGGAAAGCCACTCAAGCATGCCTGGTCAGCACTCGACAGAGCTCGCAGACAGCTTAGAGGATGCTATACACAGGAGGCTCGCTGGGTCAGAACTCTGCTCACGTCTGTCATGGTCGGCTTTTCGAGAGAACGACCCAAGCGAGTAGAACAGTGAGCGACATGCCCCGTGTATCCTATTGCTCGCACTGGGGGACTCCGATGCTTCGGTGCCACCATTTGGTGACAGAATGGTCTGGTACGGCATGTCTGGCAATACATGGGATCAGTGGGAGAGGCGAATGCACACCATGGCTGCTGGGCGCATGCTTGTCGCGGGGCTTGCGGCAAAGCTCACTGTTCTGCTCACCCAAGTCACATCTTGATCGCGAGAGCGAGTCTCGGCGAATGCGGCAGAACGGCTGAAGGAACGACTATGACGACTGGCCGAACGATTATCAGCTCAACAAACTGACCGTCACTAACCATTCTTCCTAACAGGAGTACTTTGTTCAATCCGTTGGACCCATCAAGAGGGTTGAACTGGTCTACGGGCCAAATTCGCAGAGCCGCGGTATCGCCAACGTATCCTTCCGTGATGTCAACGGCGCCAGCAATGCTTTCCAGAAATTGAATGGCCTGCTCGTTGACGGACGGCCAATCAAGATCGAGATTGTCGTTGGTGCCGCGCAGGCAGACAAGATTCTCCCTACTGCCAAGACTCTGGCTGAGCGCACTACGCAAGTAACCTACTTTCTGACTCACGTCCTGTCGCTAACCTGAAGTAGTCAGCCCAAGGCTCAACCCAAATCCCAGCCCAAGTCTGCCGCGGCCGACAAGAAGGGCGCTGCCGGCAAGGCTAAGGCCGGCAAGGCTAAGAAGGGACGTGCCAGCAGCGGACGCCCAACTAAGAAGACTGCCGAGGAGCTCGATCTCGAGATGGCCGATTACTTTGTTGGCAACGAGAACGCCGGCAACACTGCTGCGGCTCCAGCCCCTGCGGCTACTGGCAACGGCGAGGCTATGGAGGAGATCATGGTGCGTAGTGATGTCCCCAAACGGACAAGTATTACGGCTAACCATTACGCAGTAAACCTAGCTTAATCGGATCAGCACACGGGGGATGGTTTGCATTTCAAATAATTGAGGAAATTGCCCCAGGCGTTACCGGAACAGAAGGAGGATGAGAATGTCGATACCAATACTACCAAATCACAAGCGAGAGAATATCGTGCCTGTTTTTGCAACATGAGTCCTTTTTGCACAATTATTGAGCCAGGCAATGCATGCCTGTGATATCGTAAATTCATTTTCAACCCTGTTCAAGCCTGTCATTATTGCCAGTGTAGTGGCATACACCGCAAGTAGGTAGAATCAATAATGTTCCTTCTAAGCCATGACCCCAGGGTCTTGGAAAGATCCCCTATGCCTTCGTAGCATCAGCTGGCGCTGCGGCGGCTCCTTTCTTGTCGCCTTCGAGCGCGGGCATATCGTCCTCGTCATCATCATCACCAACGTCATCAGGGTTGACACCAGCTCCAAGACCACCAAGATCGGGCATGCCTCCAGCACCGAGCTTGGAGAAGTCAATGCCGCCAAAATCGCCGCCCTCGCCGCCCATACCGCCCATACCACCCATGCCGGGCATGCCACCTGTCACCGTCTTAGCACATGCCATTCATCAATAGTGCGGATAGAACTTACCCATGCCGCCAAATTGGTTGAAGTCTTGCTCAGGCGCCTCTTCCTGCTCGTCCTCGTCGACCCACTTGTCGAAGTCGGTCTTGAGGAAGTGCAACCGCTTCGAGTCCTTGAGCAGGCGGGGCCAGTACTCTTCCTTGAGATCCTTCTTCTGCAACTTGAACTCAATGTTCTTGGCTGTGTGGTTGATTTTGCTCTGCTCAGGGTCGATCTCGGCGTAAAACTCGAGCTCGACGTGGTACTTGCGCTTGAGGGTGCCCGAGGTGCCAGTGAAATTTAGGCCAGTGGACTTCAGGTCTAGCGTGAGGCCTTCATTGGGAACATCGGGAACAGAGATTGTCAGGTAGATGAAGTTCTTCTCGGGGTCCGAGTCGGAGGAGCGCTGAGCCCAGAGAACTAATTGCACATTAGTGACCAGGTTCGTTGTGGCAATATGACAGGTTCGGCGAGCTGTGCGCCTTTGAGGGCATCTATCGCATACCTTCAGGAGTCGCGGTCTCAGACATGTTGTTCCGTGTAATAAGGGACTGATGAGAAGGTAATTGACAGTGATTGTGGATTAGAACGGTCTGTAGATGAAGGGTGCAGATTTTAAAGCGGTGTTGAGGATGCAGGGTCTGTTGTCGTGACCTGACGATTTAACAAGGCTGGCGAAGACACCAGAGTGGGCATGGAAGATTTCAGAACCAGAAAGATGCGATAGAGGGCGACTCTGTGCATCACCCTATTTGTGCGGTGATGCGAGTATCTCCCTATTGCCACTCGCCCTCTCCACGCTTGACGTAGCGAACCCCCACAAGAGAGCAAGCTCTACCTCACCTAGCACAGCAGAGCCAAACTTCACGAGAACTGGATTGTTTGAGGTGCAGAAGCTTCCACTATACTCTGCCCGCATTTCCAATTACCACAGAGCAATTTCTGGCTTGCTTGCAGCGTGAGAACTCACTCAATTCTATGGTTTGTTGGAAGCTGTACGGATAGATGGCGGGGTAATGGACAAGCCACCACCGCGCCACAGGAGAATGAGTGGCTAGACCCCAATGTCGCTGTACTTTGCCAATCAACGTCACTGCCAGGCTTCCAGCATCGCGCTTGGCCTCATATCTCTCCACGCGACCACGGCTCGACACAAGCAGTCGAGTCTAATCGAACGTCGAATCAGACACCCAGTGTTTCTGGAGGTCACTTGGATTGTCTAATTGTGCCCCTCGATACGAGTGTTATCGCCAGGAGTCTGTTGGCCCACCATGGAAACCGTCAGAGCTCTGTTCGCCAAACCAGACCCCAATGCGCAGGTACGGCCATGCAATGCTATTCCGGCACGAGTCACTGACAGTGGACTGGCAGTTTCGAAAATGTAACCAAATCCTTCGCTCCAACCTCCGCAAACTCGACCGCGACATTGTCCAGGTCCGCAATGTCGAAACGAAGACCAAGCAGCTCATACAGCAAGCCGATCGTCGGGCTCAGCGTGACCCGACGCGCTCGGCGCAAGCACAGAAGGAGGTGCGCGACTTTGCCCGCGAACTCATCCGTGCCCGGCGCACGACAGCCCGCCTGATCACGAGCAAGGCGCAACTCAACAGCGTCCAGATGCAGGTCAACGAGGCATTTGCCGTGCGCAAGATTGAGGGTTCGATCAAAGCAAGTGTGGGGATTATGAAGGACGTGAACGCCCTGATAAAACTGCCCGAGCTGGCTGGGACGATGCGCGAGCTGAGCGTGGAGTTGACAAAGGCCGGTATCATGGAAGAGATGCTCGAAGACGTGATGCCCGAGGATGCTGACATGGAGCTGGAGGGTGAGGAGGGCGAGGGCGAGGTGGACAAGGTTCTTGGAGAGATCCTCAAGGACAAGAAACAGACAGAGCCGGCGGCCAAGTTGCCTGCGGCACCAGTCCCCGAACCGCAGAAGCCGGCGGTCGCTCAGGTGGAGGAGGAAGAGGAGGAGGATACAGATGCCATGATGGACCAGATGAGAGATCGACTGCAGGCCCTCAGGAGTTGAGGTGTTTATGAGGCTACGATGCACATTTGCGGCGTTTTGGTGTTGGATTCTTCCGATTTAGGCGTCATGATGCGATGCCTCCTCTTATAAAGTTGTCTGCAGTTGTTCACGACTCACAGATACACATGTCCTTGCTATTTGATTTCAAGTATTCTCATCCAGCCGATTACGGCCTGCCGTCGAAATCCCGAGTTTAGGCAAGTGAGTGGCATCTTCCAACGAAGTCTTCGTGGAATCTTGGTTGTGTGTCGGGCCTTTCACGCCGCTCGACACTCGAGTCCTATGTGCATGTCTTTCAACTACGCCTTGATACATGTTGATACATGTCACATTTGAAGGCTTAGAGAATGACGCAATAGAAACATCGCAGAAGGAGGTCACCATTCCAGTGGCCTCCTTGGCTCAGATCCTTCGTGGGGAGCCAAGTGACGAGCACATCCACGGAGATCCTACAGACGCCCCTCCTCGGGGGCGGCCCCAATCCATCGCCGTGTATTTCCGGGAATAGGGTAAGGCAGCGGCAGAGTATGACGAAGGGAAGTCTTGGAACGCGCCGAATGCCCATGATTTCCATTACTCTTGTCCTATAGACCGTCGCTTCGCTCTCCCGGCTTGAGATTGTGACGACATATTAGGAGGAGTCAGCTTTGCACATGAGCATTGTGTAGCATCTGACAGCGCCGCAGCTGACGTGAATGAACAACCACCGCCTCACAGACCAAGACAAATTCGACAACCCGCCGGATAAACGTCGTCCTCATCTGACAGATGGGCATGATTGCGAGCGTGGGGTTGCACGGGGGAGAGGGGACACTAACGGAACCCCTCCTGCGCTACATATCGTTCCGAGACTAATTATCTTGAGGGGGGACGATGTCCCTCCGAGATGTTCTCGCCAAGAAGGAAGCAAACTCCGCGGGTAAAAGATAGTAGCTTGCGAGGAGCAGACTCTTCTTCTCTACGGAGGTAGTCCGGCGCCAGTGCTACACTTCTTGACTCGGCTCGTGGGGATAACTAATGGCGAAATGGCAAGACAATTCCGCCGAGCTTGGTGCCAGATATTGGTTAATTATCGGGGCACTTCCGGACTTCTCCAACCGGACTGCCCGTCGATGATCTCCACCAGGGGTCTAGAGGCTTTGACAGGTAAATTAATTAGCCGCACCAAAGGACGGAGGGACACTATGCTGCCACAAACAGCAGGTATTGCGGTGTCACAACGAATATGAGTGTCTGGTCCGGATACTAGATCCGCGCCTGGTACTGGCTTGCTACCACTGGCCAGTGGCAGTCGATGGGAATTCTCAGCAGACCGTAGCTTTAAACTCGGGCAAGATCGATATCAGACAAAATCACTGCGCGACATAACAGAATGGTTGTGCCGGCGTGGCACTCTTGCTGCTTGCATATGCCACGAAGCGGTCAACGGGTAGCATGCATAGATCGTGTCCTCGACAGGTGCCGTACACGGCATACCGCCTTTCTGACTCTTCATCGGGCATGCAGACTCCATACCTGTACAGCAAGATTTGAGACTTGGCAGCGTCTAGCCCGACGCAGATTTCGAAGGCCGACATCAGCAACCGAAATGTGAAGTCTGCAACGAGGGCAGTGGGGAGAAAGGACCGAAGATGATTTATCCACCTCCCGTGGCTCGGTCTTGTAGTACGTAAGTGTAAGTGAAAATCGTGGCTCGGGAAGCGCACGGACGGAAACCAGAAGCGATTTAGAACAAGCTAGAAGGTTTATGGCAGTTGCTGCCGAACACTTCGCTGGAGAGTGGTTTCTCCCAACTCATCGCCGTTGGAGAGCAAGCTCTATGACTCAGGCTGTGTGCAGCCGTGGGACGAGGGTGCCACTCTTTGATCCGTTGGAGTCGATCTGTCGGGAGGCCAGGGAAGTTGGGCTAACGTTAGGCTGGTGTCAAACAATTGCAGGGACACGTCGGGTAGGCGCTGAAATGAGAATGACGTGCCACGGAGCACCGACAGCAGCAGCAAATAGATGACAAAGACGGGTTGCTGCAAACAAATACCGAGGAGTCACAATACGTACTGCATGCTTATGCGGATAATGCATTGGTGGTGGTGATTCATCAGCGACCGGAGAGAGGAGTGGCAGTGGCGTCCAGGCTGCGTAGGGTAAGTGTGCCATCAGCTATCGTATTGGACGACCGAGAAGCAATGACTGGCACGAGATTGTTGTAGACATGTATTAATAGGCCTCGCGGGTTTCAAAGTGGCTGAATGTCAGCTTCGCCAGGCGGCACGAGGACCCAACGGTCACCCAATGTCATTGTACGCATGGTTTGTCACAATCACAACTCAGAAGGCGACGCGACGTGTCGAGTTTGGCATGTTGATTGCTCGCAACCATCCAGCACAGCAGCACGAGCAAACAAACACATCGATGATGCAGGACGAACGCGACAGTGTGAATGCAAGAACAGGACACGGGGAATAGTCTAAAAAGGGCCGCAGCATGCAAAACGCGTCAAAAGGAAGACAACAGCGGTCTGCAAAAGGCACAAACACGTTGTCGCGAGCACTCACATGCCTCAGCTCCAATCGGTGGTGGTTGCAGGAGATTCCTGCTTTGTTCGTGGTGGCGCGCAGTGGTTTGCGGTTGCAATTGTTGATGGATGGCATGTTGCTTCTCTTTGGGCGGTGAAGGGAGGCGGTCAGAAGCAATCAGAGCGTGATGCAGCGCAGCATCGCCTGTGACAGCAGCTGTCCGAGCGCCATTCAGCGCCCGGCTTCGGCCAATCAGTGCGACGAGGCAGGACACATAGGCGGTCAGGCTTGTGTAAGGACCGCAGAGCAAGCCCTGCCAGCCACTGCTCAGGCATTTCACCGCCTGCCCTACCTCGCAATCGGAGTATTGCTGCCTGTTGCGCGCCCACCTCAGCTATTTGTATTGACGTTAGCATCTCACAGGCGTCGGGAAGGTGCCACCCCGATAGTAATTCCATTCAGATGATTCTCATCCCTGCATACGAACCCCCAACCGGAATCCCACTGGCCATCCATCCATCATGTTTCGGTCTCATTGTCACGGGTGTGGGCAGGATGACTCTTATTAACCAGCGGCTGTGACTTGCTTGTGATATGTACTGTAATAGGTACGGATACTCGTATATGATCTTCGTGGTGGTCCAGACAGGCTCCTATCATCTTGTCTCGTTTCCTCCCTTTCCCTGCTTTTTATCGACACCGAGCTGGTGTTTGCTCAAACAACCTGAAAGCCCCCTGACCAGAAGCATCGTCTGCCTCTCCATCTCCAGGTACTTGAGCAAGAGCACCTCCCCAAGGTTCACTGCAACGAACCATCACGACCTTGACTTGTCGGTTCGTACAAACTAGCCGAGCATCTGACTTTCCCGAGGCGCACCGAGCTCTCACGGACGCCTGTCACCCACGAAAGAAACCCCCCCGAGGACGAGTCATCCCACCCCCCACCCACTCTGCGCCTCCATTCATCCGCACCCCCAACGCTAGCCTCCAATCCTAGTCAAGTCCACCCGCTTGAGCGCTCCGGCTTCCAGGGTCTGACTCCAGTCGCCCTGTCTTACCCGCCTGCGCCTGCCTGCCGAGCCCAAAACGCGACACGCCCGACGGAGCAGCCATCCGCCCACTCTGCTGGATCCGCCTCGCATCTTCAAAACATATATCAAGTCCACCTCCCCAGATTCCTGTGCCTGTTCCACACAAAGACCCCTAAAGACTACTGGCATCTCTTCTTGCTTCGACATCGACCTTGCTCGACCCGAGCTCGACATACTCACAACTCAACACAACCAAAACAACACATCGCCATCATGTACTCATCGTGGGGATCCTCATATGGGTCCTACGGCTCACTGAGCTCGACTCTCTCCTCCATCTCAGCTATGGACATTTCACCGTCGCCGGCTTCATCATCGTACGGTGCCTCATGCGCCTTTCCCTCATGGCCTCGGAGGAGTTCTTTGGACAGAGAGGAGAATGAGCGTCCCTCCTCGTTTCTCTCAGACGAGGAACTTCTTGGCGACCCCTTTGAGGACTCTGATACACAGTCGATCAGCAGTACGAGCAGTTCCGCTGATGCCTCACCACGCCAAGAACCCACTGCCGACGAGCTGTTCCAGCAGCAGCGTGAGCGCGCTCTTGCACAGAAGCAGTACATTCAGCACATGGTCACCGAGAAGGAGCGCAAACGCCAACAAGCAAGGAAAGCTGCCGCTGCCCTGCACAGCAACCAGCGCAAGAGTAGTCCCAAGAAAACCAGTCACAGAACCAAGCTCAACAACATGACGACAATCACGGAATGATCGACGTGTCATGTTGTTTGAATCAAGCAAGCCGCCAACAACGAGATGATAGATTGCCACGCCGTCATTCATGGTTGCCCACCACCATGACTCCTGGGCGGCTGTCACTCGATACGAATGACGCATCTATCTCGCCCGTCAAACTTTACCCAGCACTCGCGCGGGCGACCGAGAGCAGAACCCTTCGAGAAGCCTGGGCAAGCAAATTGCCTTTTCGGGCTAAGTTTCACCGAGGGAGACCTCGGAGTATGGCCGAATTCTCGAGTCATTCCGCACACAGACCGAGCCCTCGGCACCACTTTCTGGTCGCCGATGTGGAGCCTTGACTCTTTCTGCGGGGCAACACCGGCCCGACAGGGAGTCAAGACCCGAGGTTGCGGTCTCGCGGACGCAACTCCGAACTTCCCCATTGAGACTCTGAGTCGAAACTCCCAAAGGCCCTTTAGCCGAGGCGGTCAGTCGTGCCGATCGGCTTCTCTCGCCTCAATCCAGTCATCACAGTCTTTCACTCCGCGATCCTTTCAAGATGATCACTCCTCGTGCTACAGTCACAAACATCATTAATGTTCGGTTCATTGTTGGTCTTCCTCGGTTGGTAGGCATACGCATATGCATGGACACGCGGCGCTCAGTGGCTTCTTTTTTTGCATTGTCATTTTTCATACTACTCATCAGCGCCGGACATTGGATA